CAGCATTGTGTGTGAGCCCTTTAAAAGCATGCTTTCAACTTAATGTGCAGTACATGAACTGTGAAACTTCAATCTGTCGTCATTTGTTGTTGGACGTGTGAAGGAATCGAGCTAGAGATGCCGAGACTTACTGAAAATCAACGGAATGAAGCCATGGGAATGTCCAGGGATGGCATTTCTACACGTGCTATTGCCAGACACTTCAATTGTCATCAGTCCACTATTGTAAGGATGGTAGAACGTGTTCGAGTTACTGGATCAACACGTGACCGTCAACGTCCTGGTCCACAACGCGTTAGAAACCAGGCTCAAGACCGCTACATCCGGGCACGACGACCTTATGTTGGAGCTATCCTTAGGGATCATCACCGTCAGCGGCGTTTGATATGGGCTCAAGGACACCAGACATGGAGAAGAGTAGACTGGCAAAGTGTGCTCTTCAGTGATGAGAGTCGCATTCATCTTTATTACGCTGATGGCCGTCAACGTGTGTGGAGACGTCTTGGGGAACGTCTTGCAGACTGCTGCTTCTTCGAAACGAATCGATGGGCTGGGGGAAGTGTAATAGTGTGGGAAGGCTTCACATTTCATCACCGTACCGCCCAACACATTTGCAGGGGTCGCGTTAATGCTGTAGCCTACCGTGATGATGGCCCGTGGAGGACACACGCGCTACTGACATCTGTGTCGTACTTTTGGTTTTGACCTCTCTGACTTTGTACCCTTGATTACAGATTAAGCATCCATAAGTGTACAAATATGTTGTTATTGATGCGTTTCCATTTGAATATTGTTCACAATAAGAAGCAAAATAAATAAGATATGTTTACAGTGATGCGTTTTCCATGGCGCTCAGTATATTTAGTAGACCATTGTATATGTTAGAATAAAATGTTGAATCCAGATCATCTTATATTTCTGTTAACACAAACTATGTTATAATCATAAATTGGTTATCGTGACCAGCGAACAACTGTGGTTGTACGAAAATAAAATGTTGAATCCAGATCATCTTTTAATTTCTGTTAACGAAAACTATGTTATACTTGTCAGTGATGCAGGACATGCACGTAAAAGATCCTTTGGCTGTTGGGATTCGATATAAGAGTAGGCCGTAGTGCCGCTGTCCGGGCAAAATTTCCCTCATAGCACACTGTATGGGGTATGCCCGTCTTCATTAACCCAGTTCGGAGCAAACCAGTAGGACGTTAAACCCCATTTCATATCATTTTGTTATATTGTTTAATTTGTCTACGTATGTTTTGTTTGCGCAATATACCCCTGTAGGAGTTGGCATGCCATAAAACCTCCATTTCATGCGTTCATTCGAGACCACCCACCTATTACCAATATAGTCTTGCATTAATACATATACTAATGTCCAAAAGAAAGTATACTCTGTGCATTTCGTGTTGCATCAACCAAAGTTGTTTTCCATCGTATGCGGCGGCATTTGGGTACAATGTCAATTTGTTTCGCTTTTTTATTTTGCTTAGAAATGTTTAGTTTTGACGCAAGAGACAAACTCAGTATGTTTTATCAAATGTTTTTAATCTAAATAAAAACTTAGTCCTATTTTTAGTGTGTATACTTTCTTTTGGACATTAGTAATAATATTACATCATGTGTCTTTCTGCAGGGTGTCACCTCGTAAAGGTATCTATTTTACGTCATGGGCATTAGCAAGTTCACACGTTCCCTCATACGAAAATTACGCTGTTTTACATGATGTATGTCTGTTCCCTAATTCCATTCAGACATCCCGAATAAAAATATTGTTTATAAAAAAAGAAAAAGAAAAAAAAAAAGAGAACAGACAGGAAGCTAGTTGACCGACAATTTAATTTAAACAGTCGAAAACACGAGATTTTTGAAAAGTATTTATTCCGCTTCTATTTTAATGAAATTGGAAATGTTTATTTTAGACAATAAGGAACTTTCGTATCAGTACGAAAACGTGTACTTGTGACGTCAACCCTTACATGAGTGTTCGGCCAGTGAAAAACGTTACGCGTGTAGAGCTGGATTCATGTATTGAATTTTCCACAACTTTTCGAGGCCTTGTCGATATTGGTGATTGTGTAGAGTGTGCTCAAATGCAATATTCGGCTAAAAGATCAACCGAAAACTTTGCCTGCATGGACCCAGAAGTTCATAGGGTGAGATTACGACCATAGCTATTATTGTACGTCGGATTGCGAAACCGTGTGTTAAAGGACACGACCGCGAAAGCGTAAACGAATATATGGTTAGTGTTCGTTTTCGTACCGAAGCGAAAGGTCCTTGTAAAAATGTAAAGCGGATTAGAACCACCTAACAAATTAAGATATTTAATTGTTCGTTGGCAGCGATCAATTCGCAAAGCAGTTAGTTCTCCATGTCTAAATGACTATCCCCTTCATCTTTCTCAACTAACGGACATCTAAAAAAATACAAGAAGAGAGGGAGAGAGAGAGAGGGGGGGGGAGAGAGAGGGAGAGAGAGAGGGGAGAGAGAGAGGGAGAGAGAGAGATGGGTTTAACGTTCACTCGATACAAACTAGGTCATTTCGGGACTGACTAACATATGGTTCAGTTTTATTTTAATAATTCGCTTGCGCGTAGGGGTCTTTAGCAGTGGGGGGAAACCGTGTGAAAAGCGGTACTGTGACACTATCCTGTCCGCAGTCCCTAGAAACCGACCAATGACACTCCCGTTCCTCTCGGTAGGACTTTACGCTGAGATAAGTGAACTCTGGAACAATGTTTTTATAACTATTTTATATATGAAATACAGGAAACCATGACATCTATGATAGTTCATTATGAGTTAAATATAAGTTCTCTATCCCTTAGCGCATCGGCATCTTAGCCGAGCGGCTGGGAGCGCAGGTTGATGTCTTCTAAAAACATAAACCCCGCACGTTCCTTATATTTATAAAGACGATACGTGCATGAGTCATGTACTGACCCGAGGGAAATTGGCCAGGCACTTCCTTTGTCTGATTGCGCAGTTGCACAGAAACTACCCTGGATTAGAACACAAACACAATGTTCTAATATGAGCACCAAGAAGGAGGAGCGGATGGCGGATGTCCACTTTTCTAAAGCGTGGGATTCCATATTTGGATAAGTGTTTCATTTTTAATGAACTAATCTGTATTCCATAGACCTCCAATCTGATGTCTTATCGTAACGTACATTTAATATCTCGAGATAAATGGCCGGAGGGACATCATTAACGTAAGAGGATAATATTTAACACCCCATTTGTTTAACCACTTCAATATATTAAACAGAACTGAAATTTAGAGTACTGAAATAACCCCTACAGTGTATATAGTGTATATAAATAATATAAATATAACAATATATTGAGAACGTCAGTTAAGTTACCCATTGACAAACACTCTTACCCTGATAATGGACTTGTCATATGAATAAACGTCTAAATAATAATTTACATAACATTTTAGACCAGTAAAAACAACCGCAACGCACAAACGCACACACACGCAGAGAGAGAGAGAGAGGGGGATAGATAGATAGAGAGAGAGATTTTACTCTAACGTCCACTCGACACAAACTAGGTTATTTCAGGACTAACTGGCGGGGTTTCGATTCCCCGGTTGTATGTGACAAGGAGTAGGGTCGCCTATCCAACCTCATGGGTTTTCTCCGGGTCCTCCGGTTTCCTCCCACTTCTAAAGACCCCTACGCGCAAGCGAATGATTGAAATAAAATTGAACCATATGTTAGTCAGTCCCGAAATGACCTAGTTTGTGTCGAGTGGACGTTAAACCTCATTTCTCTCTCTCTCTCTCTCTCTTTCAGGACTAAGATAATACAGTTATAATGTTGAACAAAAAATAAGTCCTGAGTATTCTTCGCTAAAATTCTTTCATTACACACAGAGTGGGTTAGATAAGCTAAATTACCCGCCTGGATGATATCATTCCATTCCCTCCTTATCATCTCTGTTTTAGTGTTATATTTTGCAAATTAACAAACCAGTATACCAAAATAACTACTGTTTTCTTTTTAACTTTCCGAGCTAATTTTAAATGGTTGCACATCAAATTAAATTACCCCTGAACATAAATTACGTATGGCTGAGTTATGATTTACCACGCAGTAAACTTTTTATAAATTTGTGCGCAGAATGTTAATATTTGTGCTATTATCGTAGATCTTGTAAAACGAATTTGTAATGCACGACGCGACGGCATTAATTACAACAACTATTTAAAACATTACAAAGTACAAAGTGTAATAAATTTTAGCTAAATGTAACTATTTTTGGGTCATGCTGTTAAATGTATGAAACATGTATATCATGATACTGTTTGGTTATTAGCATGGGTTATTACTGTTTAAATTATAACTCAAAATAAATGAAATGAAATGGAGTTTAACGTCCTTAACTGCGCCAAAAGTGTGTTATGTAGAACATTTTGCTTGGACTTCGGCTAGATGACATGTCATTATTTCGAATTGTAACGGACAAGGCGCTTTTTTGCACATTTCTGAACCACTGACAAGGACAACAACGCTGGGAATTCCAGAGAACTTTCTCGGTCAAAACCCCGAGCGATTCCCTTTTAACCATTTAAAATATAATATTTTACTTTATTCATAATAGTTTTTTAATTGTTTGTAATTAGTTAAAAATAAAGAGAGAGAGAAATGGGGTTTAACGTCCACTCGACACAAACTATGTCATTTCGGGACTAACACATGGTTCAATTTTATTTCAATAATTCGCTTGCGCGTAGGGGTCTTTAGCAGTCGGAGAAAACCTAAGGACCCGGAGAAAACGCACGAGGTTGGACTCTCGGCCCTACTCTTTGTCACGTACAACATGGAATCGAAACCCAGTCATTTGACTCAATGGCAGACCTTATGATACAGCGCGCACGTGCTAACCATTCGGCCATCCAACCCCCGATAAAAATAAAACGCAGTGTTTTTTAAAACACTATACAATTCACCACACTTATAATTTAATCAAGTCTTTCTTACCTTAATTACTTGTTTGATAAATTGTTAAAATTTCCGGTAGCGTAAATCATTTCCCTGATGTTCTGGACTTCATACAGTGATTGGAATACAGTTGGGGGTGTTATATATGCACGCGCCATCACACTATTGGCTAGATCGAAAATGTCAGATGTACGGTTTCAGAATCAATTTGGTCTCCACGAGTCAATTGATCCTCGATTCACCATTTGTACTTCACGACTTAATGAGTTTATTGACAGCTCAGTCCGTTAGGTGTCGCTGTTTAGTCGGCTCTTGACTTTGAAACTACGAATAAAGAAAAGGGGGCCAAATTAGTTGAATATTCGATCGCTCGGATCAAGTGTTTTGGATAATATATTAACGGAATCCTAAAGCTGGTATATTGGATTTTAAGTGACAGGAACAGTAACTTTTCGCAATCACCCTCTGACAGGATAAATTGACTCTGATCGGAATATAATTTGTTTTCCTTAGATGATATTATGAAATGCGTTAAAAGGGTTATTGGGGTTCAGTAATGCACAAAATAGTATTTAAGATGCCGGATATAAAATTGAATTTTTGGTAGAAAAAAAAATCAAAAGAGAGATATTTTCTAACGAATTAATAATATTTAAAATTGTTTCTTCTTCTATTTGGCATTTTATATCCTTAATATCAGAATAATCTATTTCTGTATTTAAGTATTTCAGTGTATTTCAGTGTACTCGTGTATGGCCACCTGACACCAAGCCATACGAGCATAGGCATCAAAGTCCAGATATCATGTAAGGGAGCCACTTAAAGGGGAATTATGCGAGATTAGGCAAAGAGCTGACAGTACTCGCTATAATAGTTAAAACAAAAGATGGCATAAAGAGAATATGCTGAAAATTTCAGTCAAATTGCTCCACTCTGAACCGAGATATTAGCGATTGAATTTTCGAGGTACCCTCGATCATCAAGACGCTGCGATAAAAAACAAAGTCTCGATTTTCCATTTTGACGTTAAATCATCCATCACAAAATGTATTAAAATCCAGTAAACATCGTAGCCTAGCGATGGCATCGAGAGTTGATTACAATCTGGATAAGTTAATGTCTAATTAGTAATTTAGAGACCAGTGTGTGAAATAGCTTTATTTAACGTCCACTTCCACGGAAGTGATATCGCAGACAATATAGAGACTATGTTGTTGTTCTTAGTGTTTAATGTCGGCTTCCACCGAAGGTGATGTCGCAGACAAGTTGTCTTATTTTTATTATCTTGGCGCACGCGCAGGGGCTTTTCCTGTGCCAGGAAACCATTGTACTCCGAGTAAATCCATGAGGTTGAGAAGGCGACCCGGCCTCCATGCCACATACGCTCACACCAGGGATTGAAACCACACCCACAAGCCATCGCAACCCAACCCCCAATATAGAGACTAGCAACTCTTGCTATTATATAGAACACGTGACACCAATAATCCCCTAGCTGTTTGCCAACAAATCTATTGAACGACTTATTAACAGCCTTTCTCTCCCTTTCCCTTTTGTCCCCTTTTGCATGGCGTCACGAGGTTAAAATGTAGGGCCGGCAGTTGCATATTTACTAGTAGGCTACTACCAGTTTGTCCATCTCAGGTTACTAATGGTAAACCTCATATATGCTTTTGAGCAAGTAGTTGCCACATGTTGATCTGTCTGTAGTAGAAAGTGTTTAACCCTGGAAAAATTTTGAAAACAAAGTGACGAGAATTAATAATAGATTAAACGGGCAGATTTCGCGTAGTAAACGTGGCTCAAACTTTCTAACTCTCCCTAGCCCGAGATTTAAAGCTACCAGAGGCCGAATACAACGCAGGCTTTTTTTTTAGATAATTCTAGCAGATTCTTTAAAGACTTGACGTGAGTGTCTGTTGATTTATCCATTAATGCTGGATGGCTCGAGGCTACTTTAATTCACATTTTACCAGTGATGAAAAGTCATTTGTAGACGTCTGTACGAATCAGTGGTGTAATCGATCATGTGTAAATTTAGTAAATATTTTATCAGGCTAAGTCTGATGATATGGAGAAAACTTAATATGAAATCTTGTATGATCTTTATAATTAAGCGTACACAAAACTATGGAATCTGACTCTGTGAGACACAACCCCCTCAAGATCAGCACTACCAAATCGAAACTTCTCGCATTTAAAGCCAGAACACAAAACGTTAAGCGGGACACATCTTCGCGCATTATTAATTCGATAGTATTAGTTATATAACGTTTTTAGTCTTGGGGATTGGGTGGTCGATAGCTTAGCACGTGCGCGGTTTCGATTCCCCGTGACAAGGTGTAGGGTCTAACATAGGTTCAATTTTATTTCAATAATTCGTTTGCGCGTAGGGGTCTCCAGCAGTGGGAGGAAACCGGAGGACCCGGAGAAAACCCACGATGTTTGACAGACGACCCTACTCCTTGTCACGTACAACCTCAACGACAGACCTTATGATACAGCGCGTACGTGCTAACCATTCGGCCACCCAACCCCCTCATCATCATATTCCAATGATCAAATTCTAGTCGTTTGAATTTATAGATATTTCTTTAAATTTATACATAAATTATTTGCTCGTGTTTGTGGCCAAACTTTATAGCTGTTGGCGCAGAGTGAATTGTTCATTCAGCACTACATATTTCATCAATGAAATACGTGCACGAGACACGTTAAAGTAGCTAAGTCTCTAACTCCAAATCACCCAAAGCCTTTCAGCGCCATTTGTAAAAAGGGACTCGAAGAACGGGGCTAGACATATTCCACAAGTCATTTCAAACGGCAACCTCATATTCTTATCTGGAGAGCATGCGCAATAACTACTATCGGTGTAGAATGGAATAACAAGCGCTAGAGATTGCCAATCGATTGAGACTTCTGGCGTATTTCGCGGGAAAATAACTGATTAGAAATTACTGTAAAAACAGAAACTATTGAATGTAAATCAGGTTATATACATTCAGATTAGATTATTATATGAGTTGCGACCTATTTGTGTCAAATTCTAGGTCCCAAATATTAAGGATTTAACTCCATTAATATGCACCTACCTCACCTGCAAAACCTTTAAATGAAATTCACCTTGGGCCCTTCACTGCAAAGACATTGTGTCTTACCCAACAAAGCTGGACCAAGCCTATTTTTGTTGCTTCCTCTGGCAAGTTTCTTAGGAAACACTTGTCTACGATATTACGCTTGTTGAACGTGGACATAAAACAAACTCCAGGAACGAACGAACGAAAAGAATCGTGGGCGAGTTCATGTTCGCCGAGTTGGTAGTTTAACGGAACACCTTATTTCAACATCGGTGGTCATCTGTATCAGCATTGTTGAATATGTCACAAAATCTGTGTGCATACACAGATATAAGTCCTGCTTTGTCCTTTAATTCTTGTATAAGCAGTTTATTTCAACGTCGATTATCGTTTGTATAAAGGTCCGTTCATACTACATCCGTATCCGTATCTGTAAATACTGCGTGAATACGTACTGGTATACTTTAGTCATTTTTAGAGAAAGGGTTCAAATAGAATCCGGCACGTATTGCGCACAAAAACAACTGCGTCCGTTACGCCGGACCGATTGCTCCCAGAGCGTATTTTTGGAAAGTACGTCCGGCATTTCGGCTAGTGAGCCGAGCTTCAGCCAATCAGCGAGTACTTTCCCCTTATTACATCATCTCCCTAAATAGAAACTCAATCTCTGACAGACAATTCAGTCTTGAAAGCCGGACGTTTTCGTGTTTTCTATTTAAACGGCAAAACGGGGATACGGGTGCGGGTGCGGGTGCGGATACGGATGCGGATGCGGATGCGTTTATGGATACGGATGTAGTATGAACCGAGCTTAAGGGGTGGGTGGATGGCTGATTGGCTGAATGGTTAGCGCGTGCTTGCACGCTGTATCATGAGGTCTTTCATTGATTCAACTGGCATTGTTTCGATCCCCGGTTGAACGTGACACGGAGTAGGGTCGCCTGTCCATCCTTGTGGGTTTTCTCCGGGTCTCCCGGTTTCCTCCCACTGCTAAAGATCCCTACGCGAAAGGAATTATTGAAAAAAAATGGAACCATATGTTAGTCTCGGAATAACACAGTTTTTGTCGAGTGGACGTTAAACCCCATTTCTCTCTCTCGCGTTTGTATAAGCATTGTTGAAATTATTCACAAAATTATTGTGAATGTATAGACATAACTTCTGCCTGATCTCGGAATTCTTATAGTAGTATTTTACAAATGAATTATTTATGAAGATAATTTAGATTCTTTAAATCACAAACATGTTTTTTTAATCAATGGCGTACAAATGCAAGCATTACTGTTTAAGCGAGTTATGAAGTGTCGACAGTTAAAGGGATCGGGCACGGGATGTGGTATCGAGATGAATAATGGAACAGATGTACTAGCAGCCATTCAACGGTGTTAAAGGAAGTATGAGAACACCACGATTACTCCACGATTAAAACCACGGTTTCAGTCGTAGACCGAATCCTGATAGTGCGAACCTAACATTAAACGTTACTGAACGATACTGATTTCGTAGTACTATCCCAGTTCCTTAATATCTTAATTATAATTACGGTAGTCTCGGTCACCCAGAACCGCTAGTCTTCAACGTATGGAGAGAGAGAGAGAGAGAGCGCGAGAGATAGAGAGAGAGAGGTTTAGAGTCTGAACGATACTGATTTCGAGGTACTCTTATCCCAGTTTATTAATTATAATTACTGTAGTCTCGGTCACCCAGAACCTCCTAGTCTTCAACGTACGGGGGGGGGGGGAGAGAGAGAGAGGGAGAGAGAGAGACAAACTAGGCTATTTCGGGACTAACATATGGTTCAGTTTTATTCCAATAATTCACTTTTTTATTTCATTAATAACAATGTTTACGGCTTACCGTTGTTAGCTTAAAAGATATTCCTGGATCCTGAATAAACGTCATATTTCGTACTCGCGAATAAACGTCGTATTTCGCTACTCGCGAATAAAGAAATACGCCACACGTCCGCTATCGTGTGCCTTTTTCAGCTCACAGCTGATGTCATGCTCTATAAATAATACCAGTACCCATAACGGATCAAGTCCATAATGTCATATTGATTGTATTGGACGTTAAATATGTAATAAACAACAACAATAACAGTAGTATCAAATAGTATCAACAAGTCTGGTGTATCAAATACAACAACATGGAGAATACTTCTACGTAAGAAACTTTAATATATATATTTTCGTATTAAAAAGAGAGCTATATTATATATATTTATATATAGTTTATACATTTAATATTCCGTCAGCGAGATATATTTCACGCCTATTTATAGCTATACAGGCAATACATAGGCCGTTTCAATGGTATTAAGTAATTGAACTGGAGTATACAGGTCACAAATCTATGGAATACAATTACTGCTTATTACGTTTTGACTAGGCTTCTCTTGTGATTATCAAGCAATGATAAAATATGAAAATATGACAAGACAATATATACATGTACACAACAATACTTAGTTAATGCTGACCAACCAATTATCCCCCCCCCCCCGCCCTACCAACTAATTAAATTAGATTCCCTTTAGGTACATATAATTAATGGGTTATCTCTGGTTGGTCAGCATTAACTAAGTATTGTTGTGTACATGTATATATTGTCTTGTCATATTTTCCTTTTTTATCATTGCTTGATAATGACTAGAGAAGCCTAGTCAAAACGTCGCTCAGTCATAAGCAGTAATTGTTGTATTCCACAGAATTGTCACCTGTATAATACCTCGGCCATTGATTCGTTTGATTAAAGGTAGATCATATAATACATTTATTTACGTATATATAAATATCAATAATAGGATATATACGTTATATTAAATGACAAGTTTAAACGCGTTACATTGTTAAATACAGAACGTTTAAAAGCAAACAGTCTAGGTAATTACTAGAAAATGGAGACGTTATTGGTGGTCAGTTACTCCTTTATAACTATTAGCAGTAGTACACTGAGAGATATAAAAATGAAATAAAATGGGGTTTAACGTCCTACTGTTCTGCTCCTATCGGGCTAATGAAGACAGGTTTACGCCATACAGTGTGCTATGAAGGAATTTTTTTCCCGGATAGCGGCACTACGGCCTATTACGTGCACGCCATCCGAACGACTAGACAGCTGTCCTTGTCAGGCCCTACGTCCTACATCACTGACAAGGGGGAACCACGCCGGAAAGTCTGGATGAACTTTCTCGGCCAATACAGGGATCGAACACCCGCCCGTCTTACCCACTTAGCCACCGTGACCCCCCCCCCCTCCGAGATAAACAACTTCAGCGATTCAAAACGACATTTAAATTTATATTGTTTATAAGGCATTTAGTGATAGGAATAACATTGGAATAATACGAACACAACTTTATGGATAACAATCACTAGCAACTTTAATAAAATTGAACCATGTTATACTCTGGTTTGTGGTGAGTGGGCGTTACCCCCTCTCTCTATCTCTCTCTCTCCCTCTCTCTCTCTCTCTCTCATTCTCTCCCGTTTTGGGATTATTCATAAATAATATCATGTATATATATCAGTGATTCATGTTTTGTGTTTATTGTACAACTATACATTTAGATAAACACTGAATAAAACCGTTTATATCTTACAACACAAGAAGAGTAATAGGGTCAGTATATGTGTGTGAAATAGACTCGATATATTTATTTAATAACATATAATGGCTTGTTCACACATTATCCCACACAAAACTAAATCTTTATAATATTTTCATACATTATGTAAGTAGAATAAGTAGAACAGAACTAAAAATACATTAGCGCGTGCGCGTTGTATCATAAGGTTGTCTGCCATTGAATCAAATGTGGTTTCGATTCTGCGGCTGTACGAGAGAAGGAGTAGGGGTTTTCTCCTGGTCCTCCGATTTCCTCCAACTGCTAAAGACCCCTACGCTTAAGCGAATTAATGAAATAAAATAGAACCTAGATTGTCTCGAGTGGACGTTAAACCCCATTTCTCTCTCCTTCACATTTGCACCAATGATTTTACACTATAGTTGGCCTTAACAGACACCAAATTTGATCAATTTTTTCTAAATTGCACCGACTAGGGGATATTGAAATTCAATCACCGTTTATTCGTTCTAGGATTTCGAATATATTAAATAATAATAAGTAAACCTTTATATAATTTCATAAGAATAATTTCCTTAGTAAAATTTCCGGGCAAAATTTCCCTCACAGCACACTGTATGGCGTATGCCCGTCTTCATTAGCACAGTTCGGAGCAGAATAGTAGGACGTTAAACCCCATTTCATTTTGTATAATATATGGAAATTAAAGATCTGAAGATATTCCCATGGAACATTTCATTTCACTTTAATACAGAGAGCTGAAATCTTTACTTTCATACTATTAGTAGAATAGTTATTTAAAGCTGCCCCCCCCCACCCTGTCAATGATGCAGCAAATAGGGCCTGACAAGAACAGCTGTCTAGTCGTTCGGATGGGACGACAAAACCGAGGTTCCGCTTACACATTGGCGTGCACGTAAAAGATCCCTTGAAAGTTGCAATTTGATATAAGAGTAGACCGTAGTGCCGCTGTCTTCATTAGCCCAGCTCAGAGCAGAAGAGTAGGACGTTAATATTTATAAATATTATATTTGTTAAACCCCATTTCATTTCATTTAAAGCTTCTCTTCGGGAATTTATTTTACAATAATTCAATTAACAATTTACACCCCCCCCCCCAACACACACACACACACAGGCACACATGTGCTGTGAACTCCGTGAAAGAAACGTGTTAACGCTTTTAGTATATTTAAATCTATCTTATTTGTTTCAGAATGTACAAAGAAGAATATCATTCAACCCCAAGACCTCCATACGATCACGATGCGGCTACCGTTGCATTTATTGTGTACTCGGTGTTAATAACTACATTTAATATTATATTAATCACCGTATTCCTCTTCAGTCAGGTGCTACGTCGATCTATCAAGCATGTGTTAATAGCCATCCATTCGGCGTCCGCCTTCATTCTTGGATTTCTGGTATTGCCATTCCTTACTGATAAGGCTATTCTAAGCCGTAGCTGTGATATGTTGGTTTTATTCATTGGATTGTTCTATGCTTACACTGCAATATCAGCCTGGATGGTATTTCTCATCTGCCTGGATAACGTTCTCTACAAATGGAGAGTGTGTATTAAGAGCAGAGTATACGTAGGGGTTGTTTTAAGTATTGTTGCGTGGATTGGAAACACTGTCGTTATCATGACCATTGTCAGTACGGCTCCGAGACGTTCAGAACCAACAAGTTGTTACATTGTTTTAGAATCCGAATACCAAGAGGCTATGGATGTTTTGACAGTTTTACCCTACCTCTTTGTTTTCTTAATACTCTTTGTTATAATGTTCTCGTGTATTAGATTTCATTGTTCGCACAGAGAAACTGATTTTCACAAATATGAGATACAAGACAAATTCTTCCCATTAGACATTGTTCTGGTGGCTGTCTTTTCCATTTTGTTGGACGTTTCATACTTTGCCGGATTGCTAGTAGCTGATGAGGTAGAATCGGGAAGCCAGGTGGATACAAAATTATACATGGTAGCTACCCTGTGTGTGGCATCCATCAAACCCGTTATAATTCCGATGTTTTGGTTGACTAACAGATTTACCAGAAAGATGGTAACAGTAGTGTTGTGTTGCAAAAAAGCTCCAGAGCCCAGTCGGAACACACAGAGTACCACTAACGAAGCCATGGTGGAAATGAACAACGGACATCGTAATGCGTGGGTTGAAGGCTAGACAATTATTGCATCTTGGAGAAAATGTAATGTCATGGTTAATATCCAGCTAGCAATGTTATGGCGGAGATAAATGGAAATCAAACCTCGTGGTCCAATAATATGATAGAAATGAATGGAAATCAAACCTCGTGGTCCAATGATATGGCAGACATGAATGGAAATCAAACCACGTGGTCCAATGATATCGTAGAAATGAATGGAAAGCATATACCAATGCTAGAATATTGACAAAAATAGCTTTAAACCTACCGAACATTTCGTGTTTTAAGGATCACTACATACCTTGTCTATCAGAGAGAGAGAGAGAGAGAAATGGGGTTTAACGTCCACTTGACACAAACTAGGTCATTTCGGGACTAACATATGGTTTAATTTTAGTTCTGTAATTCGCTTGCGCGTAGGGGTCTTTAGCAGTGGGAGGAAACCGGAGGACCCAGAGAAAACCCACGAGGTTGGACAGGCGCCCCTACTCCTTGTCACGTACAACCGGGGATTCGATGTTGTTAATGGGACAAAGTGCCCAATAACTTTCATAAAATTTTCCATCTTATGAAATACGAACTGTTATTTAGATGCTGTGAACTTATTGACCCACAGCTGGTTTTGATAATATATGATATTGGCTTTTCAACTATACACTTTGTTCAAAACATGTAAGCGCTGTGTTGTAATTAAGGAGTCATGATCTGGGACATATGATCTGTGTACAACCTGGTGGCCAGCCAATCTAAACAAATTCATATGTGACGATGCCTTGTGTTGTTAGACTCAATTCTTGATGTTTAAAGGTATATAACAACGAGTTTCTTGAAATTTAGAGAGACGAGGAGACAGAGAGACGGTGGGGGGGGGGGGAATAGCAGAGACCGGCGTATGGACTCACCCGAGTTCAGCCGCTGCCGTGGCAGAATGGTGGAAGGGTTGTAATATAGTAATGGTGTAGTTGAGTTTCTGTTTAATTTTTGTTGCTGTTTTTATTTATGTTCCTGTTTTTTTTTTATTTCTGTTCCTATGATGTAAATAAATTTTATATTTACAAAATTGATTTTCTGCTATCATTAATATTAATACTTAATCAATGAATATGGAAGAACGGACATTTGAAAACAATCGTCTTCATTAGCCTAGTCGGAGCAGAACAGTAGGACGTTAAGCCCCATTTCATTTCATTTTAATACTTTCAAATTTCATAACGCTATGGTATTTGATTTGCATATTGTAACCCGCTGACAGTGATTGACAGTTACCTTGATGACATCACCCCCGTCACTTACTTTTTTCGGACAATATATAATTTCTCACGGTTAATTAAACGCTAAATGTACTGAAATGTACTGAAATTGATTATTTCAACCGAAGATTAAAGATACATTATGGGAGATTCGATAACGAGTTGGCAGTTCTCACTATAATAATTAAAAACTAGATAACGTAAAGGCAATTTGCTAAAAAAAATCATTCAAATTGATCCCTTATGAACCGAGTACTAAGCGAATGAAGTTTCTGCCTAACCTCGGTCATCATTAAATGAAATGGGGTTTAAAGTCCTACTGTTCTGCTCCTAAACTGGGCTAATGAAGACAGGCATACGCCATACAATGTGCTACGGGGAAATTTTGTCCGAGCAGCGGCACTATGGCCTACTCTTATATCGAATTACAACTGACAAGGGATCTTTAACGTGCACGCCAATATATACACGGGACCTCTGTTTTTCGTCCCATCCGAACGACTATACATATACAGCTGACCTTGTCAGGCCCTCCGTCCTGCTCTACTGACAAGGAGAAACCACGTCGGAAAAACCCGATGAACTTTCTCGCCTAATGCAGCGATTAAATACAAATGGAAATAGGATGCAGTACTATCATCAGCACATTTATACGCAGATTGGGGCGGTGGTCAGGCATATCTTAGGGGGATCACGTGGCCAAGTGGGTAAGACGCTGGCTCGTTAGCCTGGAGGTCGGGTGTTCGATCCCTGCATTGGCCGAGAAAGTTCATCCAGATTTTCCAGCGTGGTTTCCCCTTGTCAGTGATGCAGGACGGAGGGCCTGACAAGGACAGCTGTCTAGTCGTTCGGATGGGACGAAAAACCGAGGTACCATGTACACATTGACGTGCACGTAAAAGATCCCTTGGCAGTTTGAATTCGATATAAGAGTAGGTCGTGGTGCCGCTGCCCGGGCAAAATTTCCCTCATAGCACACTGTATGGCGTATGCCTGTCTTCATTAGCCCAGTTTAGGAGCAAAACAGTAGGACTTTAAACCCCATTTCATTTCATTTCAGACATATCTTAGCATGAAGTTGCTGTACTACTTGTTTATAAAGGGTGAACCGCGATGACTTAGTGCGTATGATGCAGACCCTCTCTCACTGTTGGCTTGGCATCTTTTTCCCCCTTCTTTTTGATGTTGACAATGACAAGTATGGGTATTTAAAAACACGATACGAAAATCGGCCAATCATTCGGGTGCAGTACCCAAGGTTTAAAGTTCAGAAAAATTGGTGGGACATCTATTGACATCCCTCCCAATTTAGGAACAAAATGTTGACTGGGGTGGAGTTCAACATCACGAAATCCACTCAAAAATAATCTATATTGAAATGTGAAGGAATCTAAAAGCCAAGGTCATCTTTGAGAATTATAATCAATTAATAAAGGACAGTAGTGTTAACGTCAAGAAATACGTCAAAGCGATTTGTAACAGAGGATATTAGTGACAGATGTTTAAGTGATCTAATAGAATCAATATCAACCAGTTAGTCCAATATTCTGATCCAAATCTTCTAATAGATATCGACTCCTGTTCAGCTTGTCTTCACGCCATCTCTGTTAGTTAGTAAAGGTACAATTGTTGAGTTGCGCCGGTTGTTTTGGCTCGTTTTCTCGCCGGATATGTCCACTAATTATATCACATTACTTTGTTTATAGTTTTTGGTTTAAATGTCTTTAGAAACGATGGTACAATCTTATATTAACAGGAAAATATCGTCCGATCCTAGTCAGTCTTAATATTTGTTACATTCTTAAAGCCTCTGGGCAAACTAGTTCGATCCCTGCATTGGCCGAGAAAGTTCATCCAGATTTTCCGGCGTGGTTTCCCTTTGTCAGTGATGCAGGACGAGGACAGCTGTCTAGTCGTTCGGATGGGACGAAAAACCGAGGTCCCGTGTACATATTGGCGTGCACGTAAAAGATCCCATAGCAGTTGGAATTCGATATAAGAGTAGGCCGTAGCGCCGCTGCCCGGGCAAAATTTCCCTTATAGCACACTGTATGGCGTATGCCCGTCTTCATTAGCCCAGGTTAGGAGCAGAACAGTAGGACGTTAAACCCCATTTCATTTCATTTTTCTGGGCAAACTACAATAGCGTGAAAGATACGACGTATTTACAAAATTATATGTTGTTCGCAATTTTGTTGTCTGCGAAGATTTATTGATAGGTCTGCTTTGAATCCGACTGAATCCAAGCCGGGACATTGCACTGTAACCCGGGTATCATTTAATCTTGTGTTTTTAACACTAATGTTTTTCACATTCATTCGATATCAAATCTTTGCTTAAAAATTCTCAAAAACCCTTTAAAATCACCAAAAATAAACAACGCATTGATTACTGATAATGATTAATTTTTGAATAGTGGTTATGAAATTAAATACTTTTAAACTGGACATTATCAAAATTAATCAGCCATCCTTAAACTAGACACGAGTACAAATTAGATGATTTTTGGTGGTTTAAATGATTTTTACAAATTTGTAAACAAAGAATTGATATGAAACGAATGTGAGAGAAATTAGTGGTAGAAATACAAGATTAAATGATACCCGGGTTACAGTGTTATCTGACGTTGATATTTTATTCTTATTCCTTAATCAAATGTTAAATATTTAATCTGAATACATGTCAACGAGTATATAGCCTTGGAAATCTAGATATCTTAGCAAAAAATGAAAATGACGCATTGGTACATTAAAGAATATTCCAATACGAACGATCTTATACATTAGAGACTTTTGGCAAGCGTAAATTCCTGGTCCGTATCGCGTATCCGTAATGATTTTGCGTGTGACGTCATCAATTCGTGTGCATTTCTCATACGTGATACGGCACACGGATACGGCAGCACGTATCGAACAGCTTTAATACGGAAAAAGTCGTCGTCTTTTTTGCTACTTTTAGACGCTGAAATGTTGTGCCGTAGCGTTTTTATGAATCTATATATGTCTATCCTAGAACGAAGGTGTATATTTGATGTGATTTTAACCATGGCAAAGACTGGAATTTAATTATTACTTTGGATGAGATTTTCGCGGAATTTTCATATTTTCCTATCTGTATGCACGCTTGTTGATGTACGTTCTAAATTTAGGGAGGTGGGACCTTGCAAATCTGTAAAAGGGGTATATTTTTAATAAGATTCGACACTATTTTTTTTTTTTTTTTTATTAAATAACTCCGCCAAAGTCGAACGACTTTACTCCCTTCAGGAATTTGTAGGCTAGGTACTTGACTAGTACTGATATTGATCTTGGTAGATAACTGCCATCATGCTGTAATAGAACTACGCTCAGCTCAGCTACCCATACGTAGACGGCGCAAAAATCTGCCAAAACTCTAAAACTAAATTAACGCAACGTATCACGTGACGATACGGATACGTTATACGGATGGGAAAAATTCCACTTGCCAAAAGTCTCTATTGGCTTCTCTGCCCCTACCACCATAAAGCTTTGTAGTAAATTTACAGTTGAACAATCGGAATTACGTGTTATTTACGAAAATTAAGAGAGTCTTGCCATTGTCTTCCCAATATTTGATTTTCGATTAGTCTTGAAAGAGACTGGAGATTCATTAAACATGGAATGGACCATTTCGAGACTAACATTATTATGTTTTAATCTTTGTTCCATTCCCATGAAGAACTCTGGACAGATCTACGAGGTTAAGCCGGGCACTCCCATACTGTTAAAATCGTGGGATCGGAAATGCTGGTACATGTGATTGTCATGTTAAGCACTTTTAAAAGCTCTTCACTGGCTCCCTGTTCGACAAAGAATAAACTTTAAGGCCCATATTTTCGAGCAGTGTCTAAAATAATCTGTGATTAGGTCTAATCAGTAACTAGCTAATTAGAGATTAGTAGTTGACTAAGTTTTGATTCTCAAGAGAGTCAGATTAGCTAAGCTTAGACTAGAATTTCTCTTCGTCAATGATTAAAATTATGTTTTAAAATTTGATTGTAAATCAAACATTTAAATTACTGATTTCATATAATCATTGATTAAAGAGTTTTTGTTTATCATTAAAGAAAGGGCTCAGAACATGAAGTGGGTCACAAAAACATGACATTGTGTTTGAGAACCGTGTTTCCCAACCTGGGGTTCAAAGGCATCATCGAATCCCCGGTTGTACGTGGCAAGGAGTAGGGTCGCCTGTCCAACCTCGTGGGTTTTCTCCGGGTCCTCCGGGTTTCTCCCACTGCTAAAGGCCCCTACGCGCAAGCGAATTATTGAAATAAAATTAAACAATATGTTAGTCCCGAAATGGACGTTAAACCCCATTTATCTCTCTCTCTCTCTCTCTCTCTCTCTCTCTCTCTCAAAGGGATCAGTAGGGTGTAAGCAGGAAGAAAAAGCGGGTCCGGGTAAAAAGAAATCCAAGTAAATTATAAGAGTGTGAAATTTTTAGTTTTGGTATTGTAGAAATTGTTAGTATTCGGACAGTGAATTTCATTGGTTGTTATCCGTCACATTTCCCAGAAGTTCACTAAGTACATTAGAGTATGAAGTTTTTTGTATTGTGCAATGTTTTAGTATTGGGACAGTAAATTTTAGTAGTTGTTATCCGTCACATTTCCCACAAGCGACCTAGTTAAATTCACAATGGCGATGTGAGGATTGTCTTCACTACAATAGAAAATTTTCTCGGATTAAGATCCAAATTTATCATTATTTGTCAATGTTGTATAAACTTGGAATATTTCTATTTAAAGGGAACACCCCGGATTTTAACAGAGTCTTTGAAACAAAAGTGTACGTATGAAATTTAAGCGCCAAACTTTAGAGGAATGGTGTATTTACCTGGTCTCAAAATTTCAGTTCGAAATATTGAGTCGTTTTCAGGTCGACGTCAAGACTGCTTTTAAGGGTTCGATTCAATGTTTTTTCGTTAGGTGGCCTGATTTTATATTGCCGTTCCTTTCAAGATCTATACAGTATATGACACACGTGCTGTACTTGATAACGAAATCTACATTTCACCTACAGGTTATTTTTATAAATTAAAAGTCTGGTTTTGTCCAGACACCGTATAATACTGCTTGAGACACAGGTCTCTGTTTCCAGATGAAGTGAGAGAGAGAGAGAAATGGGGTTTAACGTTCACTCGACACAAACTAGGTCATTTCGGGACTAACATATGGTTTAATTTTATTTCAATAATTCGCTTGCGCGTAGGGGTCTTTAGCAGTGGGAGGAAACCGGAGGACCCGGAGAAAACCCACGAGGTTGGACAGGCGACCCTACTCCTTGTCACGTACAACCGGGGATTCGTAACCACGCCAGTCGACTCAATGACAGACTTTATGATACAGCGCGCGCACGCTAACCATTCAGCTATCCAACACCCCCTTCCAGATGAAGACTGACGGGTTTAAGTTGTTTGAAAACGTATCACGTATATTAAGTTATTTTCTTGGCCAAAAGGTAAAGGATTTTAAGGGCTTTTAACACAAAATTGAGCAGTTTTATTCTCCAAAATATAATCGAGATTGGCACTTTAAATAAGACTGGAAGATGAAAATGTAATTATCATTTTTAATAAAGTTGTTCGCATCGCCCCGCTTGGCATGTCATTATATAAGCATACAATGTGTCTATTTCATGTTTCGATGTAATTTAATTGGCCGTTAAGATACTGCTTTTGCAATTTTTATACATACAACTGTGTGCCAATTACATAAAATTTCATGAGATATATTAAATATAATATCATTTATTATATAAAAACATGAACAGTATATTTGTAATTATCATGCGTCAAAGATCTTGAATATAATTATTAAGTTAGCTCCGCTTTGAACTTGGCTGTTTTTCATTTTTTACATCTCTTTGTTGGAAATATTGTGTGAACATGTGAAACGACAACAAGGAATTTAACAAACTATTTATAATGCAACGAATTTCATTTCTAGTCGACTTTGCCTTGTGTTTTTTTATCTACATAATCGCTTGAAAGTGTCACCAAATATCCCGTCTTCGATACGCTCTACGGGCCTTTGGTTTGGCTGAACCCCACCCCTTTTGACAAATCATGTATCCACCCTTGTGAACAGGCCCTTAGCCAGTGGGGTAAGCCCGGGGCGTCAGTAACAAACAAGGAAAGCCGCCGGCTTTTTTTCCGTACATCATATCAAGGTTGTAAACTCGCGGTCGTTGCTACAGGAACATGCATCCTCTAAAATATCTTGCACTTTGTATTTTGGGTTGTTGTGTTTGGGGGGGGGGGGGGGCGTAAATCGGAAATATATATAATTATAGGCAGACAGTGTAAGTTGAGTATGCGAAGAGTGTGTGTGAATTATGGAGAAAGGGGAATGTATAGTGTTAAAAATAAATAAAGGGAGCTTATTGGGTAAGATCCTGACTCGTTAACCAGGAGGCTCGTCTGGATTTTCCTGCCTAGTTGGTTACCCTCTGTCAGGACGAAAGGTGCGAAAAAACCCTTACAGTCGTAATTCGAAATAAGAGTAGTCTGTAGTGCTGCTGTCTTTGATAAAATACTCTGATGGCAAGATACAGATAAGAAGGACGTTAAAACCAAATTCATTTCATTTCATTTCAAAATAAATGTCGCTTCATGCTTATTTGATTCATAACTGCATAACTGAATGTATCATAATGGCATATCCATGGACTTAATCCTTTCTTTAACTGCCCCCTGAGATGACAAATATTTGGCGTGACTTAGTCAAAGATTAAGTACACGTCAACGTTTCAGAATATCACATTTTATGGTATTCTCGAAAAATGATTAACTCAATGATTAGGCTAATCAAAGTTTATAAAAATTCTAGTTTAACATTTAGTCAGCTTTCTAGAATACGACTGGTCAGAAAATCGGAGATTAAATCTATTCTACTTTCGAAAATATGGGCCCAAGTTCTAACCCCAACTTATCAGTGTATACACCAGGCTATACTATGTAATATAATTTAGATCACTCCGTTCTGGGGCCTGTTTCACGAAATTTTAACTAAGATAAAATCCAAATTTTAGTTATTTGATTGGATAATATTAGACTAATTTTAGTGCTTAGCCAATCAAAATTGAAGTATCTACTAAAATTTGGATTTTATCTTTAGTTAAGATTTCGAGAAACAGGGCCCTGGTTCCCAGTGTTTATTAACTGTTTCAGAGTATAGACTGAAAACCATTGGCTCAGATCATTTGACTATAATGCGACACATACATGGAACTCTCTGCCACTACATCAACGGACTGCCCCATCTCTAAACATCTCCAAACAGAAACTCAAAACTTATAACTGTTTCCTGTAAACTTTGTTAGCGCTTTAAGCAAATACTACTGTTTGAAGTCTAGCGATTTATACGAATTATTATTATTATTATTATTACATGTTATGGACATTCCAATGATCTTCAGATCTGCAACCGCAAAGAGCCCAACAATCCGCTGATACAAATATTGAAGGGATAGACCGTTTCGGTATTGTTGTAGACCCAGTCAATGGAATTTATAGGATATGGCGTCCTATAATTTACTTTATGAGGAGAGAAATGCAAGAATTCCAGCTTTAAATGATTCAAATTGTTTTAAGCCAGGACACATAAAAAAAATATAGATCACCCATGTTTTGATCATTTTTATAATTACGAACATGAAGACTAAATCTTTCTTTTTTATGTCCTAATCTATTAATTTAGCAAGGAAACAAAGACATTTCAGAGAGAGAGAGAGAGAGAGAGAGAGAGAGAGGGGGGGGTAACGTCCACTCGACACAAACTAGGTCATTTTGAGACTAACACATGATTCAATTTATTTTAATAATTCTCTTGTGCGTAGAAGTCTTTAGCAGTGAGAGGAAACCACGGGAGAACCTGGAGAAAACCCACGAGGTTGGACAGGCGAACTCTACTCCTTGTCACGTACAACCGGGGAATCGAAACCACGTCAGTTGACTCAATGATAAACCTTATGATACAGCTCGCACATGATAACCATTCGACCATCCACCCCTAAAGACATTTGATACATTTAGGTTCGTTATACAACAGATGAAAGACTGGATTTTTATGTAATTTGGGGGGTTGATGTGAGACCGTATCATGATTTTTAGGCACTTTATTTTCTTCTTGTCTATAACCTTTTTAAACATGCATTATGCGTGAGCAAAATCTGCTTATTACAAGTCTTTCTTTAGGCCTGAAATGTTATCTAAATTATCAATTAGACATTAATTAACTTATCCAGACCATAATAAACTCTGGATGTCAAGGCTAGCCTGCGATGTTGGCTTGATTAGATTCCTATATGCCGCTTAACGGCCATTGATAATTAAATCAAAACAGTGGATAATCGGGACTATACTGTTTATATTAATGATTTTAGTAATGATGACCGAGACTATCCGAAAATTTCATCCGCTTCGTTCTCGGCTCATCGTGGATCAATTTGACTGAAATTTTCAGCAAATTACCTTTACACTATCTAGTTTTTTAACTATTATAGTGAGAACTGCCATCTCTTTATCTTATCTCCCATAATGTATTTTAAAATAAGAAAAAGTCAAACCTGTACATTAATATTTCCACCTAATTTTCAAAACTAAATTTATACTAAAATCACAGGTTCCGTCCACAATTTTTAGCAAATAGGCTGGAATTGAACCCAAAAAGGGATTTTATAATCATATAATCTTATATCGCATTTTTGTACATTTTGCTGAACGCCTCAGGGGCATTAGGTAAAATAAGATACAGAGCTGGCAGTTTTCGGTATAAAAGTTAAAAATTAGATAATGAAAACAGAATATGCTGAACATTTCAGTCAACTCTTTTCGCTTTGATGAATCGAGATATAAGCGATTCAATTTTAGGCCAGTCTCGAGCATCATTACTAACTTCGGTGCTATAAAAAACGATCTCTCGAATATCCATTTTTTACGTTAAATTATCCATCACACAATGTATTAATATCCACTAAATATCGCAGGCTAACGATGGCATTGATAGTTAATTCTGGACTGGATAAGTTAATCATGTCTAATTAATAAATTAGGTAACATTTCAGGCCAAAATAAAGACCTGCAATGGGCAGATTTAGCTCTTGCATAATGCATGTTTAAAATTTAAGGAAATTAATTGGTGGTCTGCATCCGTATTAGTAATTACATCCCTTGATCTACAAAAAAATAAATTACAAACTGCAAGCCCGCTTCTTTTTTTCAGATGAGTGTGACATGTTGAGCTCGTTATGGTTATAAAGATCAAGATAATCGGAATGTCCAAAGCATATTAAAGGCCAAGACATGTATTCATTGAATTCAATGTGGGGAGTATTGCGAGCCTTAATACGTAGGTTTGCTTTAGCTCAAGACTGTGATGTCAATATCTATAAATAGACGATTTACGTGATTTCAATATGGTAGGCCAATACAAGTCTTCATATCCATATATATTAATCAACATGATGGTGCTGTATTAGTAGTAACTAATTCCGGTGTATTAAAAACAACAGAATGAGCAACGATTTCAGGTAAACATGTTTAATATATTCAGAGAGCGAGGTGTACACTTCACGTCTACTCAGTCTATCTAGGTCACTCTATCGATGATCGTAGATAGTAGAGAAATATGCGCTATCATACGCATTCTTCAGCTTGAAACTATGATGTCACGATTAAAAGAATGATATAAAGCTGACGGTAAAATAGTATGAAAGCCAATATGGCATTCTTTTAGTATCAAGACAACAATTCCCAGTACACAGTTTTAGTATACAGCTTTAGTATATTCATACAGCGAGGTATATATACGTCACATCTACACTGTCAATATCTAGGTCATTTGTCCCATTGATATAAAGCAGATCATATACAATCATATAAATATGACTATCAGTGAAAAAATACAGGGGTTAAAGTTATACTGTTCATCGCCGACTGGGCTAATTTAGACGAAAATGAAATGGGGTTTAACGCCCTACTGTTCTGCTTCTGACCGGGATAATGAAGACGGGCATACGTCATACAGTGTGCTATGAGGGGATTTTGTCCAGACAGTGGCACTATGGCCTACTCTTATATCGAATTCCAACTGTCAAGGGATCTTTTACGTGCACGCCAAATATGTACATGGGACCTCGTTTTTTGTACCATCCGGACGACTAGAGCAGGTCCTCGGTCCTGCGTCACTGACAAGGGGGAACCACGCCGGAAAATCTGGATGAACTTTCTCGGCCGTAACTTATGAGATATTTACAAATTTTCTTTAGAACTATTTTGGGGGTACCTTTAATGTTGGCCGTACCTACAGACAATTATTTTTGTGGTGGAGAGGTGGGGTTAGGTGGTCGAGCGATCTGACGCGTGTGCTTTAGATCCCAATGGGTGGGGGGAGCGACTGGTTAGCGTGTGCGTGTTGTATCAAAAGGTCTGTCATTGAGTCAACTGGCGTGGTTTCGATTCAGAAGAAGAGTATAAGGGCATACAATTACAATGTTAATCATTCTGGAATATACTCTTAAAACACAACAACTTACTAACCAAGTAAACAAGAGTATAAGGGCATACAATTACAATGTTAATCATTCTGGAATATACTTTTATAACACAACAACTTACTAACCAAGTAAACTCTTATATCTATTTGTTTCAGAATGTACAAAGAAGAATATCCTTCAGTCCCAAGACCTCCATACGATCATGATGCGTCTACTGTTGCATTTATTGTGTTCTCGGTGTTAATAACTATATTTAATATTATATTAATCACCGTATTCCTCTTCAGTCCAGTTTTACGTCGATCTATCAAGCATGTGTTAATAGTGGTCCATTCGGCGTCCGCCTTCATTCTCGGGATTTTGGTCTTGCCAGTCCTCACCGATTATGCTATTCTAAGCCGTAACTGTGATATGTTCGTTACATTCAACGGATTGTACTTTGTTTACACTGCAATATCAGCCTGGATGATATTTATCATATGTCTGGATAACGTTCTCTACAAATGGAGAGTCTGTATTAAAAGACGTGTATATGTGGGGGTTGGTTTGAGTATTGCCGTATGGATCGGAAGCGCGGTGGTCATCATGACCACAACGAGTACGACACCTAGACGCCCAGAACCAACAACCTACGAACGAACAAACTGTTTCTTTTTTTTAAAACCCGAATACGAAGAAGTTGTGGGTATCTTGACCTATTTACCATACCTCCTCGTTTTCTTAATGATCTTTGTTATAACATTCTCGTGTATCAGATTTCATTATTCGCACAGAGAAACCGATTTTCACAAACATGAGATACAAGACAAATTCTTCCCATTAGACATTGCTCTGGTGGCCATCTTCTCCATTTTGCTGGACGTTTCACACTTTGTTGGATTATTGGAACCCGGTGATGAACCATGGTCAGATCAAGGTTGGTCAAAGATATACATGGTAGCTACCCTGTGTATAGCATCCATCAAACCTGTTATAATTCCGATGTTTTGGTTGACTAACAGATTTACCAGAAAGATGGTAACAATCGTGGTGTGTTGCAAAAAAGCTCCAGAGCCCAATCGGAACACACAGAGTCCCACTGACGAAATCATGGTGGATATGAACAACGGATATCGTAATGCGTGGGTTGAAGGCTAGACAAGTGCATCACGAGAATACATATTCCTCCAAGGAAGCCATGGCGGGAATAATTAATGGACACCGTGGGTTGAAGGATAGATAAAATCATTATGAAATTATGTTTGACCGACCTGTGACTTTTTAACAAATAACAATTTTTACAGAAACTTTAATCAATAATATTCTGCGATGCTGTAGTAGAAATATTTGGTGCCAATGCTAAAATATTGACAGAAAGAGTTGTCGCAAATTTCGATATTTTCAGACAATATCTAACTATTCACGAATCAATTCACTTGCTTGGTTATATCCAATGCAGTGGATGCGGATAGTTGGGAAATTTGTAAGTTGAATTACATCTTAAACATATTTCTTTTCGAAATCCAACTTTCACAAAAATAACCAACCGCCTTAAAAATCGACACAAGGTGTTCTACATTGTGGAAATATTAGATAATATGTAAACAAACAAGCCGCCACGTGATTTCGGTGCATATTGTGATTTATAAATAAAGACAAAAAAATCATTAAACCAGATGATCAGTGTTAATTCGTTATCTTTAATGCTAGGTCCCCACTGTCATGCGATGCGTTACGAGAGAAAGAGAGAGAGAGAGAGAGAGAGAGAGAGGGGGGGTAACGTCTACCCGACAAAAACTAGGTCACTTCGGGGACTAACATATGGTTCATTTTTTTATTTCAATAATTTGCTTGCGTGTAGTGATATTTGGCAGTGTGTGTGGGGGGGGGGGACCGAAGGACACGGAGAAAACCCACGAGGTTGGACAGGCGACCCTATTCCTTGTCACATACAACCGGGGAATCGAAACCACGCCAGTTGACTCAATGACAGACCTTATGATACAACTCGCACACGTTAACCATTCGGCCACCCAAAGATTCCCCCACCTACTGACATTGGTTAGAAGGCGCAATGCATGTACTTTCATTGCCGTATACACCCACAAATCACGCTATGTCAGTAGATGGTTCTCGATTTCCTTGCATTCGATGCCACTTCCAAAGGAAAATACTATTTTAAATGTCTCTGGGAGGGCGAAGCGAGGCCTAATCGTTCCGTTGCCGGTCAACGAGAGGTAGGCGCGGACTTCGTGGGATGAGATTCCGGCGTAGAGGCGTTCAGCCGAAAGCCCCAGGACAAAGGCAAAGCCCCAATGGCAATAAACCACCAAGCACCAACGCTTTCAATCCCGGACCAACGTTCCTCTCGTACTAGTCAGTCCTACCCGCTCGTAACCGCTCATTCGTAAAGAGTTCCCTACCAGTAGGGTAAAACTAACCTGTCTCACGACGGTCTAAACCCAACTCACGTTCCCTGTTGGTGGGTGAACAATCCAACGCTTGGCGAATTCTGCTTCGCAATGATAGGAAGAGCCGACATCGAAGGTTCAAAAAGCAAGTTCGCTAAGAACGCTTGGCTGCCACAAGCCAGTTAACCCTGTGGTAACTTTTCTGAAACTTCTTGCGGGAAGCAGTAAAGAATAGAGCTCTCCCATCGTCGCCATAAGGGCGACACAAAAGGATCGATAGGCCTTGCTTTCACACGGATCCCTCCTATTGAAAAGCATCCTCAATCTAGCATTTGCCCTTTCGCTCGACCAAAGGTTTCTGTCCCTTGTGAGACTGGCCTTGGAGCGTCCCCGCTATCGTTTTGCGGGCGCACCGCAACAGTTTAGCCCAAAACTGAATCTGTCCTCGAAGACCCACGGGTGGTCCGGTAACAACTCTGTGGGTCGCGCAAGAAAAATAGAACATTTTGCCACACTCTCTTCTGGACATGTCGGGCAAAAAGAATAATTGTACCAAAGGTTCCAAAATTTTATTTGGTTGGGGTGGGGCTTGGGGTCATGATCCGTGATGGGGTGGGGTCAGTGGCCGGGTCGGTCATTAATCTACGCAACATTGTTTTTCCTCAGTCTGGCTAGCGCTGGCATAATTTAATAATTTATCCTTGTAGTCTTCTATTTTCAGACAGTTCTGTTTAATATATATAAGTTTAAAAAGATACGCCTGCGGCCATACCAAAATATACGAAGAAATAGGACAGTATTCTAAGTTTAGACTGAAAACAGGGAAAAAGCCAGCTGTAGCTGGCTGAATCCACATCTGATCACCCTTAAATGCAGTTGTCTCCCATTAAGAGCTTACGGTAATTGCCGTACTTTCAACTTATGGATCGTAATTTCTTCTTACAGTCTACTTAAATGCAATAGAAATAAAGACCCGTATAGTCCGTTATTTCTTCTTACAGTCTACTTAAATGCAATAGAAATAAAGACCCGTATAGTCCGTAATTTCTTCTTACAGTCTACTTAAGTGCAATAGAATTAAAGACCCGTATAGTCCGTAATTTCTTCTTATTGTTTACGTGTGCTATATTTTGTTCAATAGAAATATAGACCTGATATATACAGTTGTCCTGTCGCCACCCCAAAATATACGTATAAATTGGAACATATTTTCCAAGGGAAAAAACAATCTGCAGCGGTCAGGTCCCATCGGGATGCAGACCACCATTAATTTCCCCATTGACTTCAATGTTAATTCTGGCCTCTTTGCCCACCTCCAAATTTTCCCAAAATTTTCGTTGGGCTGAATGCTTTTCACTACAGTCAGAGGAACAGTTGGTCCTGTCTTTGCACTAAAATTTGTATGAGGTTGACCACCAAAATTTTGAGATACTAAAAACATGTAACTAGATGCCGTACATATTATCACCGTACCCAACCTGATAACCCCGTTATCGTTGTCCTTCCGCCTCAAAATCATGAATATTTACAAAAACCTGGCAGAAAATGTTAATTCAAACCCTTTTCGTCCATTCTAGACCAAAAAATCAACAAAAAATGGGCATGCAAAAGGGGAGAAGAGAGACACGGAGAGAATTGCTCTAAATAGATGGTGAAATTTAATGGTGGTCTGCATCCATCCCTTCACTATAGTTATCTCCCTTTCGTCCGATTACACTTTTATTGTTTTTTTTTTAAAATTATTTGAAGGAACGGGCCTATAGTAATTGTACGTTTTAGTGTTAACTATTCTTCAGTGAAATTATGACCAAGCATAATGACCAGTCAGTTTTAGATAGTATTTAATTTGTCATGGTTAATATAAATCAGGATAGAAGCTAATTAGTTAAGTATTTAATCCATTATTGTTTATTTATGTTAATGTCTCTAGTGATAATCTTGTATAGTATATGTTTTGATGTCAACACTTGAGCTTATCCAATTACAGTTAGAATATAAAAAGACTAATGTACATCAATAGGCAGTCATTAGGTCACCCGACTTAGTAGCAGCTACGTCGGTCATCCACTGTGCTGTAAGTGTACATTGTATGTATTGAATTTTTGTCATTTGTAAGAGATAAGTTCCAGTAATTAAAAGATTGAAGAACCATTCCAGACTTATTAGTTATTGAAGAACCTAGCGGTTATAAAATGATATAAACTAGTCACCATTGTTTTCCAAATATTGCTACGCTAAAATTATGTTTAGTCTTTCTATCCCTTTCCTCCCTTAAGCAAGGCGATTTTTGTTGATTATTTGGTGTAGAATCGAAGAAAAGGGTTAAAAATGCATCGTCTGCCAGGTTTTGGAGAATATTCATGATTTTGAGATGGAAGGATAAGAGAGTTGAGCGGTTGATTAGGTTGAAATGTAGGGCGGAATGTGTTTTTGTCTTTACTTCCAGTTTGTTTATTTCAAGTATTCCATGATGAACAACCATACCTGCTTTTGAGCAAGCGGATGAAACATGTTGCTCCATCTGTGGAGCCAGTCTAAGAGACGAGAATTAACATTAAGGTCAATGGGGAAATCATTAGTGACCTGTACCGATATCTACACGTGGTGCAATATATATACTTCAAATTGGTAACATGGTCTCGGTGGTCCTACTTCGGAGCCACGGTGGCTAAGTTCGTAAGATGCTGGCTCGGTAGACTAGAGGTCACAGGTTCAATCCCAGTGTTGGCCGAGAAAGTTCATCAGGATTTTTCGGAGTGGTTTCCCCTTCTCAGTGGTGCAGAACGGAGGTCCACTGCTGCAGAAATAAAATTGAACCATGCGTTAGTTTCGAAATGACATAGCTTATGTCGTGTGGACGTTAAACTCTCTCTCTGTGTGTCTCTCTCTCTCGGGGGGTTGGATGGTCGAATGGTTAGCACGTGCGTGCTGTATCATAAGGCCTGTCATTGAGTCAACTGGCGTGGTTTCGAATCCTCGTTCGTACGTGACAAGGAGTAGGGTCGCCTGTCCAACCTCGTGGGTTTTCTCCGGGTCCTCCGGTTTCCTCCCACTGCTAAAGACCCCTACGCGCAAGCGAATTATTGAAATAAATTCAAACCGTATGTTAGTCCCGAAATTACCTAGTTTGTGTCGAGTGGACGTTAAACCCATCTCTCTCTCTCTCTCTCTCTCTCTCCCTCTCTCTCTCTCTCTCAGAGTTCCCATGCGTTTAGACGCCCTGACGAAGCTAATCAACTTTAAGCATTCTCTGATGTTACTTATTCGTGCTGAACAAATGTGGTATGACGTAAATTATACCATACACTGATAGGGGCTGGTACTGGTATACACTGAATAATACATTGGCTCGCGAACCTGGAGGTTTCATGTTCGACTCCGGGGTTGCCCGAAAAAGTTCATCTGGATTTTCGGGCGTGGTTTCACCATGTCTGACAAAGAGATAACGTTTATTCGTTCGGATGGGCTTGTGTACACATCGGCGTGCACGTAAAGGAACCCTTGACAGTTGGAATTCCATATAAGAGTAGACCGTAGCGCCGCTGTCTGAGCTAACTTGTATGGCGTATGCCCATCTTTATTAGCACAGTTTAAGCAGAACAGAAGGACGTTAAACCCCATTCCATTTCCATACACTAATTATCAATTTATTCAGACGAAGATTCGAAGGGTATTCTCTCAACGCCATGAAGAAATGATAGCATTGAAAGAATACTCTTTAAAATGTCGCTTACATAAATTTGTAATTATTCTTTCAAGTATGGATACAGTTAAATGTCTATATGTATGTTTAGTATTACACGAAACTCGACACCAGTTGCTAAGCAAGTAGATCAATAAAACGATCAATGTGTTATTCAAGGAAAGGGTGTTTTTCTAGGAATACGTGTAATGCGGAGATACTGACTGCCTAATAAGGATAAATACGATACACCACCCACTGAAACACGAATACATGATTCACATGATTCATCAACGTCTTTTTATGTTAAAAATTATGTTGACAAATTTTATTGTCGTCGCTGATCGTAAATAAACGCTTTTATAGTCGATCGTAGTAGCCTTGACACGAATCAGCTTATTAAAGAACAATATTGGTGTCAGTCGTTATCACATAGGTGATAGAACTGGTTAAACACGTTCCAGATATAATTCTAACACAGAGAGAGAGAGAGAGAGAGAAATGGGGTTTAACGTCCACTCGACACAAACTAGGTTTAATTTTATTTACATAATTCGCTTGCGCGTAGGGGTCTTTAGCAGTGGGAGGAAACCGGAGGCCCCGGAGAAAACCCACGAGGTTGGACAGGCGACCCTACTCCTTGCCACGTACAACCGGGGATTTTAACACAGAGATCATTGCTATGGTAGATGCGTAAGGAAGATTTCAAGAAAGGGAAGTGACGAACGCAAAGGACAACATGAGTTATCCTTCTATATAACGGTTAGGTTGCTGAATGGCGTAACGTGCCCGCTTTAGACCATAAGGTATGTCATCGGGTCAAGTGGCGTCCCTTCGTGGCAAGGAGCGGGATTGTCTGTACAACCCCGTGGGATTTCTCAGGGTTCCCCGGTTTCTCCCCCACTGCTAAACACCCCAGCGCGAAATGACTGAGTTTCTGTTGAATGGATGTTAAACCCAATTTCTCTCCCTCTCATTCATTGAATGGAGAACCCTACTGCTGTATGATTATAACTAACATAGTTATTTCCCCTTGTAACAAAATCCTGTTAGCACGGCCGAGACTCCAGTTATGACGTGATATTTCTAAATTTTATATTTTGTTTTTATCTATTCTATGGAACAAAATAATTCTTAATTCAAATTTCAATGAGCTTCGATAATAGCTTTCACTGTTATAACCAAGTGTTACGATATCATAGAATCTTCATCGTGTGAGTTGTTAAATACATTGGAAGGAAGAAGCCTAGTTCTTTTCAGAGGCGATTGATATTAAGTTAACATCTGTCAGCCCCCCCCCCCCCCCTTTCTCTCTCTCTCTCTCTCTCTCTCTCTCATATATATATCACAGTACAAAATAGCTACCGGCGTATAGCGCGAGCAGAATAAAATTAATGTTGAGTTTTTGTCAGTTTTTCAATCTGAATCAACTTTATAAAATCAAATAAAAAAAATACCCACGTAATTGACCCATAACGGCGCATCTGCTCATGGGTATATGTTTCGTTGACTGGCAACTTACATGTCACAGTCGAGCATTGCTACCTAATCCAGTTTGGGTGGAATTTATATAATCAAATCAAAAAATTCCCACGTTCGTTCATATTAACAGCTAACAAAACTAATTTGTAAAGAGACGTACGTTTTGGACCATAACGACCTGAATATTAAAAAAAGGAAATAATTGGGGAAACGAAACTTAGCTAATCATTAAAGTATACACAGTTCCTAATATTAACCTTAAAAAACTTCGCTTCCCTAAGCAGGAGGAGGTATAATTCAGGCGACTATGCGCATATTAATCCCACGGTATCTCATTACATTATAAACCATTCTTTTTGTACTAATCTAAAATAGTTTTAAATAAATTTAAAAAATCACGATTTTTTTTTTGTTTGAATACTTATTTTAAAATGCTTATTAGACGCCTAGCTAGGTAACTACATAGCATGATGATTACAACAGTCTGTTAGAATGACCTTTCCGAAAATTTCCTCAAAATGTTCGCCCCCCCCTAGCGAAAGGTAATGCCCCCCCCCCCCCCCGCTTAATGGTGTCTAGATACGGGCCCGGGCAGCGTAGGCTACATTTCTATATTAACAAGGATGTTATTATGTTACACTTATTGTGTGCAATGAGGCTTGTAAGCATGCGTGTTTAAGATTCACTGGGAAAACCCGATTTGTGATACTGGTTTATTACTATATTTAGTACTATATTATCACGACGTTGATTGGTTGGATCGCGCGTTAACTGAGCTTGCACGCTGTTGATTGGTTGTATCGAGCTTTAACCGAGCTTGCACGCTCGGTAGTTTGCCAGGTTTCACAACTGGGAGAAATATATAGGTAGTGACCGTGCCACTAAGAGTAATCGGCAGGTGGTTGGGGTTTTCAAATTGGGAGTGTTCAACTTGGAGCAGTCTGCAGATTACGGGTGTTCAACTTGGAACGATCAACAGATTGCGGTTGTGTGACAAGGAAGGAACTACAAGTAGTACGATATAGCGTGAGTAGCTGGTTGTATCTTAATTTCAGATTTGAATGCGGAGATTCGTTTTTAAAGGTGTATACATGTATATTGTACATCTTGATTATGTCATTCTCGTCAAACTCTGCTGAATTTCAAAAAGTTCTGTAAAAAATTCCGTCGAGTTTTAAACCAATTAAATCAAAGATGGCGTCACGGTGGCGCAATGATTAATGCGCTGAATCACTAGCCATGCTGGGAAGAGGGGGGGGGGGTATGGTCGAATAGTTAGCACGTGCGCGCTATATCATAAGGTCTGTCATTGAGTCACCTGGCGTGGTTTTGATTACCCGGTTGTGTACGTGACAAGGAATACGGTCGTCTGCCCAACATCGTGGGTTTTCTTCGGTTCCCCCGTAATCCTCGCACTAATAAAGATCCATACGCGCAAACGAATTATTGAATTAAATTTCACGATTATCGCGGTTGGGACAGGAAAAGTAATCGGTTAAACTCCATTTTATTTTAGACTGTCTAAACGACAGTAAACATGTCTGCCTACCAACACAAACGCAATTGGAAACAACAAACAATAAAATGGTTTAAAAACAAACAAAAAATAATAAAATAAATAGAGTTCGTCTTAATATGTTATGTTTCAAGTGGCGATAAGCCAGAATAATTTGCCATTATTAATTAGTTTGTTATCATACTTATACGTAGATTCCACATGACGTCATCAGGTAAAGGTCATCTGGTCATCCGCCATCTTTGCGGCCACACTATTGATATTTACACTCGAGTGGTCATATCGACTAAAGCTATACAAAAACTATAACACAATGTTTAATACCTGTGTTATTTGTGGGTGTCATTACAGGTCAGATCAAGGCCCAGTGAATAGATCGTATCATTCATTCTGCTCATATCCTGGCGGTTGGGTACCCCAATGAGTCTATTTGTAATTGATAAGGAGTAAGGTCGCCCGTACAACCTCGCGGACTTTCTCCGGGTCCTTCTGTTTCCTCCTACTGCTAAAGACCTCTACGACGCGCTAGCGAATTATTGAAATAAAATTGAACCATATGTTAGTCCTGAAATGACCTAGTTTGTGTCGAGTGGATGTTACGCCCCCCCCTCTCTCTCCCTGTCGCTCTCTCCTTGACCCATCCGGAAACAAAATGTCATTCAAATTTTATGCAACCGACACAAACTAGGTCATTTCAGGACTAACATATGGTTCAATTTTATTTCAATAATTTGCTGCTTGCGCATAGAGGTCTTTAGCTGTGGGAGGGAACCGGAGGATCCGGAGAAAAAAACGAGGTTGAACAGGCGACCCTAGTCCTTGTCACTTACAACCAGACTTAATGACAAACCTTATGATACAGCGCACACGCGGAGGTTCGGTAAGATTAGTAAGCATTTAGACGCCAGTAATATAGTACGTGTTAACCCCATGCTAAGTCTGAGCGTAGTTTGTTTTTATAAATCGATAACAATATATGGTTAACGTCCACAAACTATAGGTATTTTCGGGGCTAAGATTATTTTATTATAATAGTTTGCTCGCACGTATCATTGGGAGGAAACCGGAAAAACGCACACCTTGTTACAGTAGCAAACCTTACCTCATGCAGGGGATCACGTGGCTAAGTGGGTGAGACGCTAGCTCGCTAGCCTGGAGGTCGGGTGTTCGATCCCTGCATTGGCCGAGAAAGTTCATCCAGATTGTCCGGCGTGGTTCTCCCTTGTCAGTGATGCAGGACGGAGGGGCTGACAAGGAAAGCTGTCTAGTCGTTCGGATGGGACGAAAAACCGAGGTCCCGTGTACACATTGGCGTGCACGTAAAAGATCCCTTGGCAGTTGGAATTCGATATAAGAGTAGGCGGTAGTGCCGCTGTCCGGGCAAAATTTCCCTCATAGCACACTGTATGGCGTATGCCCGTCTTCATTAGCCCAGGTTAGGAGCAGAACAGTAGGACGTTAAACCCCATTTCATTTCATTTCATTTCATTTACCTCATGCAATAAACCATTCGGCCTCCCACCTTAAATGAACAAAGAGCTAACGGGTGTAATACGCTTACTCAATTACTGTGGACAGGCGGCTTGATCAACTCGGTTAAATAGGGTCAAGGTTATGTCAAAGTATTGATTATTTTGCCTTTTATATAACACACCGAGTTTTATAATGTTCTTAATAGTCAGCCAAATGTTGATGTTATAAATATTTACAGGGACTGGTTCTGCTTTTAAAACATTTTGAAATTTTCGACTCATATATTTTATCTTCATATCGATATGATTAAAGTTCGATCCCTGCATTGGCCGAGAAAGTTCATCCAGATTTTCCATTGTGGTTTCCCCATGTCAGTGATGCAGGATGAAGTTGATGACACGGGCAGCTGTCTAGTCGTTCGGATGGGACGAAAAACCAAGGTTCCGTGTACACATTGGCGTGCACGTAAAAGATCCCGTGGCAGTTGGAATTCGATATAAGAGTAGGCCGTAGTTCCGCTGCCCTCAAAGCACACTGTTTGGCGTATGCCCGTCTTAATTAGCCCAGTTTGGGAGCAGAGGACGTTAAACACCATTTCATTTCATATCGATATGATTAAAATATATTTGTTGTTTAGAGCTAAATATGTTATATATATAAACGAACGCGAGATTAACGGATGTAATACGCTTACCCAGTTAATATCTGCTGGAGGCAATATCAGCTTAGTGAAATGTTATATTGTTATTAAACATGTAAGAGCTAAATCTGCCTATTGCAGGTCTTTCTTTAGGTCTGTAATGTTATCTAAATTATTAATAAGACATTTATTAACTTATCCAGACCATAATCAACTCTCGATGTCAACGCTAGCCTGCAATATTTACTGGATGAGAATCCCATTTGCTGCTCAGCATCCATTCATGATTTCATCATGAAATGGATAACCGAGACAATGTTTTTTTTATCGTACCGACTTAAGTAATGATGATCGAATTTAGACCGAAAATTCAATCGCTAAAATCTCAGTTCAGACGGGATCAATTTGACTGAAATTTTCAGCAAATTGCCTTTACATTATCTAGTTTTTAACTATTATAGTGAGAACTACCAGCTCTTTATCTAATCTCGTATAATGTATCTTTAATTTTGTTATGATTTCAATCATTGAATGATATTTACCTCATAAATTACTTACAATTTAAACTTAAAGGAGCATAATGGAAGATTAGACAATGAGCTAGATAATGTAAAGGGAATATGCTTAAATTTTCAGTCAAATTGCTCCACTCTGAACCGACAACCAGCGTTTGAATTTTAGGCATAGCTCCGATTATCATTACTAAAGTCGGTACGATAAAAAAAAATAGTTTCGATTATCCAATTTGGATCCATTCATCGTCGAGCGCTTAGCAGCAAATCGATTTCACATCCAATGAAAATCGGACGCATCATATGGCATCGAGAGTTTATTATGTTTTTTTATGTTAATAAATTTCTAGTGGCTGTTTAACCACAAACAGCAGGTTTACAATAAGGACAAAGTTAACAGAGAATCAATGATCATGTTTACTTTGAATTAACATTACCTATTGCAATACACTTATCTTTATATGGCCATATATCTTTCAAGGTAGATAACACACGCATACATTCGGGGTTTAAGATCTATAAATACATAAAACAATAATATTAGGTCCTGTTATAGAGACATCAGTCATACACATTAAATAGCATAAATGGTTTCAGAAATTAAAATTAAATGGAATGTGGTTGAACTTGAGTCAAGTTGCGTGGTGCAAGCGAATTATTGAAATAAAATTGAACCATATATTAGTCCCGATGAGATTTTCGGCTATACATTGTTCCTTCCCAGGTCTTCTATATTGTACTCCTATAGAACCAACAGGAGAGATGAAGTTGTTTTGTGTCGCTCTCGCATTGGTCATACCTTTTTAACACACATTTTCATTTTGAAGCGAGAGCCTCAACCGGAATGTGTTCACGGTCGACATGTTCCTTTGACAGCGAATTGAGTGAGTGCAATCATCTCAAGAACATAAGATCGAAATATTACCGTTGCCAGTCTCTACATCATTTATTTGCCCAATCGGGTTTATATTGTAATTTACTAGACTTTTTAAAAGAGACATGTTTTTATCGTAAATTTTAATTGTATATTTATCATTTCATTTTTGTATTTTAAATATTAATATGCATAAAAGGTTTATTTCATTTTTAATTTTCTTCACTGTGATATTTTTTTTATTAATGCATATAATACTTTTTCTGTGATATTTACTTAACTTGTCTCACACGAATCACCATATGTTTGGCGCAATATAGCCCGGTGGGAGCTGACGTGCCAAAAACCATATTTCATTCATTTATTTATTCTTCTATCTTGTATAAATGATATCAATTTTTCAAGGTTATATACAAATTGATGCCAGGATTTTACACGGAATTAGACTCTTATCAAATCACTGCATAGAATAAGATTTTTGTTGGGTAATGTCCACTACTATGCTTATTCATGGAAGTATAATCTTAAAATGTAATTTCTCTCTCAGCAGGTGTGAGGCCTATTCTGTCGAAAGAGTTTTTTATTTCTACACAGACATAAAGAACAAAATGCCTCGTAAGTATAAACAAGTATTTACCATGTGTCAAAGGGTTCTTTGTCTTGTTCGAACAGACATTTCTATAACACGCAGCTGCCACATAATGTGTTTATGAAAATGAAATGGGGTTTAACGTCCTACTGTTCTGCTCCTAACCTGGGTTAATGAAGACGGGCATACGCCATACAGTGTGCTATGAGGGAAATTTTGCCCGGGCAGCGGCGCTACAGCCTACTCTTATATCAAATTCCAACTGCCAAGGGATATTTTACGTGTACGCCAATGTGTACACGGGACCTCGGTTTTTCGTGCCATCCGAACGACTAGAAAGCTGTCCTTGTCAGGTCCTCCGTTCTGCATCACTGACAAGAGGGAACCACGCCGGAAAATCTGGATGAACTTTCTCGGCCAATGCAGGGATCGAACACCCGACCTCCAGGCTAGCGAGCCAGCGTCTTACCCACTTAGCCACGTGATCTCCAATGTGTTCATGTGCGCTTTACTTTGACATATTATAGCGTAAGACAATATGGCATTTACATAATAAAACAGGACAACAAAGAGCATACTTGATGAAATGTATAAATAAAAACTGTTATTTAGATAAAATTACATGTAAATAGAAATTAAAAATAGTTCTGGATAATGTTTCGTTCTTTATATCATTGGATTAGTGAAATAAATCTTCTTTGATTGGCATTTAATAATTGAACATATTAACACAAGTTACAATTTTATGGATACACCAATACTGAGTTTGATACTGAGCGACGTTTCGACGAGGATATTGATAAAGACGAGAGTATCCTCGTCGAAACGTCCCTTAGTATTAAACTCAGTAATTGTGTATCCATAACATTGTACCTTGTGTTAGTGAAATAAAATTGAAACAGCGTTAGTGAAACAGCGTTAGTCCGGATGTATCTGCTGAGTGGACGTTCAACCTCATTTCCCTATGTGTATCTCTTTATTCAGGATTTCAACGATACAGGGCTGTGGTAGTCGGTAAGACGGGCGTAGGGAAGAGTTCGTTCTGTAATCGAATGGCCAACAACATCTTCTTCAGGACGGGTACAAGTGTTTCATCCGTGACAATAAATCCACAAAAGGTAGCGGTGCAGTTTAATAATATGCAGGTCTGTGAATTCACTGACATGCCTGGACTGTTTGATACCTACCGGAGTCATGGAGAGATGGAGCAGATACTAGGTACCTGTGTAGCACTATCTCTGCCGGGTCCTCATGTATTTGTGTACGTTATCAGCATCGCCACCAGATTTACACAAGAAGACAAACAAACTCTCTTGAAACTAAGCCAAATATTCGGAGATGATGTTTTCAGATACATGCTGGTCGTTTTCACCTGCAAAAATAACCTATATCATTCCCGCCAAAGCGAAAGACAGTATATTGCAGACTTCGTGAACAGCCTATGCCGTTCAGGACAAGCCATACCGCGACATATTAGGTATTTGATAGGTGCTTTGAATGAAGGAAGGTACGCATTTATTGAATGTTATGGCTCAGAAAGCGCAAGTCGACCAGATGTATTTGGTGTTTACACGAAGATTAATCAGCTAATAACAGCAAATCGGGGTGGGCACTACACAAACCAAATGTATCAGGATGCGGTCAGTAGAATGGTTTGGGAAGGACGTAAAGCAACACTGAGGTAATATGAATTATATGATCATGATTAGATATTTAGTACATTACCTGCACATCACAATTGAAATGAGACGTTAATGTAGCGAGTAGAATGAGACGTTATCATAGCGAGTAAAGCGAAACCTTAACGCGGCGAGTAGAATGATACATTATATATATATAGGATAGCTAGTAAAATAAGACATTAGCATAGCGAGTGAAATGAGACATGAGCATAGCGAGTAAAATGAAACCTTAATGTGGCGAGTAAAATGAGGACTTAGCATAGCGAGTAGAATGAGACGTTTGCATAGCGAGTAAAATGAAACGTTAACCAAGCGAGTAAAATGAGGTCTTAGCATAGCGAGTAGAATGAAACCTTAATATAGCGAGTAAAATAAGGTCTTAGGATAGCCAGTAAAATGAAAACTTAACCCGGCGAGTAAAATAAGGTCTAAGCATAGCGAGTAAAATGAAACGTTAACACAGCAACTTTTGCAGTAATTAATCGTTGTTAAATGTTTCAGGACGTGTGGAAAATATGCTTTGGTTGGGTTAGCTGGTGCTGCTGTGGTAACAGGTGGTTATTTTGCTTGGCCTTATGTCTTCGGCTCCGCCGCCTCCGCCGCACCTGTAGCAGCGACTGGAGAGGTGGCTGCTGGAGCCGGTGCAGTGACGACTGGGAACGTGGCTGCTGGAACAGGTGTAGTGGCAGGGGAAGTGGCTGCTGGAACCGGTGTAGTGGCTGGGGAAGTGGCTGTTGGAACCAGTGTAGTGGCCGGGGAAGTGGCTACTGGAACAGGTATAATGGCTGCTGGGAATGTGGCTGCAGGAACTGGTATAGTGGCTGGGGAAGTGACCGTTGGGACCGGTATAGTCGCATCTGGGCAATTGGCTTTTGGACAGACAATAGGATCTCATTTTGGAACTGCCGCGGCAGGAGCTGGGGTGGCCGCTGCTTTAATGAGAGCCCAAAATGGAAGTCAGAACAGACAATGAATGACAAAGGTATATAATATAAGCATTGTCTGTTTATCAATCCTTTTTCTGAGAATGAAAATATTTTTTATAAAAAAATATAAATAACAGTATTAAGGAGATAAACACTTCCTACTTCGAATTTGAAGGAACGTATTTGGGCAAGAGTGCTCAAACGATCAATCTAAAAAAAACATCCTCAAGGAAGTGTTCATCGACATTGTAACTTTTATTGATCTTGACTTATTTAACACAGTCGTTATGCGTGCAGGAGACGACTCTTCAATTTTAAAAAGAAACATCGGTGTAATATTCGATTCTTATGTTCATGGAGAGTCATATTAACGATCTAAAATGCACTAGATCTGCCCTTGAACAACATCCTATCTTTTAAAGCTTATCAGTCGCTATCCACTTGTTCGCGAAGCGACCATCGTGGGGTCCGGGTGGCGTCCCCCGGAAATGCGATTTCCAACTATCTGAGACAAGAATCTGGTTTTAAAGTACGCCCCCTGGATCGAAATGGTGAGCAGGGTGCGGGGGGGGGGGGGCACTAGATCCATCCTTGAATAACATCATAATAATACATATCCTTGTAAGTTTTTGGTTTGGTATTCACATGTGTGTGATTTTCACTGGTAATTAATACTTATTTTAAATTTAAATGCCAGTATTTTACATAACTCCAACTATTCATACTTTATGTGGAATGAGCAGGCTCTTGTTAAATCCCTATTGTTATACTATAATCTATTGTAATAAATATAGGAATTGTAATAACATCTAGCTTAACCCCTATTGTAGTACTAACCCCTATTGTAATACCACCCCCTATTGTACTGCATGTATTAATTGTAATAAATATATCTGAACCCCTATTGTAATTCTATCCCCTATTGTTATACACCTATATATTAATATTTGTGTCTGTCTGTCTGTCTGTTTGTTCAGGGTTGGCGGCTACACTAGGGCTGTTTCGAGGCTGAATGTTGGTCTATAGGGGCAGCTCGGGCTGGGGAGCGACATAGGCTAGGTTGCGTTGGTTTACCACCCCCGGTATCGGAGTTATACTACTTTCGATCACAGTTACTGAAATAAAATTTACCATATATAAGTAGTCCCGAAATCACCTAGTTTGTGTCGAGTGGACGTTACCCCCGACCCCGCTCTCCCTCAACTCAGAGTATTCTATATACCACAGCAATGGATTCCTATACATTCAGAAATTTGTGTCTTTCACTTTCTGTATATTTTCAATCTGCAATCTCCGCCATCCACCCCCCCCCCCCACCCTCCACCACCAGAAATTAATTTTTGTTCTATAAAAAAAAAAGTTGTAGGACAACATTTTTTATGGGAAAAGGTGTCACGATCGTGTGCTTTATCCTTTATCATCAGTTGTTGGGATGGGATGGGCATTCAAAGCGCTAGGTGATATACAATTAATGCTTTCCATCAATGAAATAGAATCACAATGTGATCGTATTAATAAATGATAAACATTGACATCTTACGGGGTCTTGGATTTCTCTCTTTAAGAAGCTCAATGTGTATGTATGCCTACATAACGTCCGCGGGGGGGGGGGGGGGGAGAACCTACGTTTAAAACGAAAAGAAATAAATGCATGATTAATAATAGGGTTTTCCCATAATTGTAACTTATGTTGGGTTTTTCGAGACTGTATTTAGAAAAAAAAAGCTATAACGGAAATTTTGAAAGGTAAGTTAGTTTCTTTGTCGTTATATGACAGTTTTCAAACTGGGAATACCCACATAACAATAACAAGGTCAAGGCTTTCTTATTTGGAAAACCCATTTATATAACGGGCAACAACCATACTGAGAATAACCGTAACATAATAACATTTAACATTTGGAGAGGCCAGTGTTCTTTCAATGGAAAACACGTCTAACACAATTCAAGTTAATTCTAAATAATTATAACCCAATCTGATTAAAACACAGATCCTATTTCGTTTCGTTTTTTTATAGTTCAAAATTTCGTTTTACTTGTCTTCACTACATGTAGTGTAAGCCATCGAAAGTATAAAACACGAAACGAAATATAGATCTGTATTTTAATCCGATTGATTATAAGCTAAATGATTTTCCGGCCTTTTTTCTCCTGTGTCACTGGCGTATAGTCGTTCGGATTGGACGAAAACTTAGGTCTCGTGTACACATTGGCGTTCACGCATAACATCCCTTGGCAGTTTGAATTACTATTTCCCTCATAGGGCCAACATTTCATTACCATAACAGTATTGCCTTTAAAATAAATCAGTGATACGTTACCAATAATGGTCACTGTAAGTTATGCATTAAAAAGGTTACAACCTCTCTCTAATGTGTCGGGTAGGGTAGTGGTTACAATTGATATGTATTAGGGGCGTGGTTACAATTGATATTAATCCACCAGTGACACGTGACCACCAGTAATGTATCGGCTTGTTACGACATGAGCGTACGGAGAAATGATGGGCACCGACGATGGGCAGACGCCATACAGTATATGTATATTAGGGAAATTTTGCCCGGATAGTGGCGCTACGGCCTACTCTTGATTCCAATTACCACTGCGAAGGGCTCTTTTACGTACACGGGATCTTGGTGTTTTGCATCCGAACGACACTGTCCTTTTAAGTACCTTCGGGGGATTGGGTGGTCTAATGATTGCCATTCATAGGCGTAGGAGCTCAAAGTAATTCAGGGGGGCATAAGAGAAAATTGCCCGAAATCAATATAATATAATCAATATGGTATATATATCGAGATCAATATGATCAATATAAAGAAATGAAATGAAATGAAATGGGGTTTAATGTCCTACTGTTCTGCTCCTATACTGGGCTAATGAAGACGGGCATGCGCCATACAGTGTACTATGAGGGAAATTGGGTGGTCTAATGATTGCCATTGAGTCATATAGCGTGGTTTCGATTTCCCGCTTGTACGTGACAAGAGTATAAAGCACCCGTTAGTATCCCCCGTCATCATAACCATCTTCATTTGCTCGGTAGGAAGAATAAACACCCCCCTCAAAAGCTCAAGTATCAAAAGCCAATCCAGCAATGGCCAGAGAGTGATTTCTCTGGCCATTGCTTCAGGAATATGCGAAACCCTAGGCTGTGACTGTCAGCGAGTACTTGGCTATTGCCTTCATAGTATTATATGTATACCAGCTGTATAACTGATTTATTTTAATCGTAAGAATTGTGGTACTCTTATTAGGCGGGGTCAGAATGTGACTCTCTATGATAAAATCTGAACAAAGGACAATAAACTCTTAGACACACAGGCTATAATGCCATAGACATAGAAACCGATACGAGAGACTGTGAGGACGAATTGTTTAAAATCACTGTTTGATATATTCAAGTATACTGAAAATAAAAGTTTTTAGTGAAGAAATTATTTTGGATTTAATTCAGTGCGTCAATCACATAGGCTACTGTGCGTGTTAGAAGGGATTATGGCAGAGTTAAAAATATTAAACACCTTGATTGTTGGTCCCCCCCCCCACCCCAAAAGATCTTGAGGCTGAAGGCTCCAACCTGGTCCAACATTCTCTGTCTGAGCCAAGGCGATATTAGAAATATTTAGTACTTAAACAAGATGAACACATTTTCACTCCCTTGAACCGCGTATGAAAAAAAACGAAGAGTCTAATTCCGGCGAAGATTTTTGTCAGAAAAGTACAACACGTTGTGCACACTGATCCGCAGTGAATATTTGCTTGACCGCGACAATCACTGATAAGGATGACATTGATGCGGCTTAATGAGCTAGAAATATTAACTTTTTTCCTGCGACAAATTAAATTCTAAAACATTTTTTGTATATATTGGAAAAATAAATAAAGGCGTTTGACGTATTTGTAGTTAAAAATTATTTCCGATTTAGTGTAAATGGGTATTAAAATGACTAAAATGCAGTATTCTCTCCGAAGCAGTTATGTCTTATGTAAACAATGCACGCGCCATTCAGCCAATGATTCACACCGCGTGCTGTGACAGCACGTGTTAAGGCAGTCATCTATGACAGAGATATTATACGAGACTCGTAATTCTCTGTGAAACAGATTGCACGTTGTGCTCACGGATTGTCATGGACAGGTGTTACGCGATATTTTACACGGGCGTCAAAAAGTGAATTACCCAAATCAGGAAGAAAACCCAGTGTTTCCATCAAGGTCAATTAAATCAAAATAAATCATTTTTAATAAAAATGTACTTACTTTTAATAAAAAAAAGAAGTTACTTTTAATAAAAGAAATAGTTACTTTTAATAAAAGAAGAAGATACCAAAAAAGTAGTTCCTTTTAAACCGACCAATCAAATTCATGTAAAGCGATATTTCCTAAGGATATTTCTCAGTAGATTATGAAATTTATCGCGATATCTACTGTAGAATGTGATGAAAAGTGATTAAACGGAATAGTAACTTACAGTTAATATACCGTCTCTCAACTCACCATATCATGTTTCATGTTTGTTATACCCTGTCTATATAATAATATTAGTATGTATGAATATTTGTATTGTTTATTTATATAAGTATTATACACTTTTAACCTTTTGATGTACGTTACCTAATATTATTTATAATTCTTTGTCTTGGAAATCTATTATTCCATATACATGTATGTATCGTATTTTCAATATTTTGTATACATTATTAATATCTGAGGGCGCCTATAGAGGGTAGAGAACTAGTTTATATGATTTAATGTATGTCAGAATGAAGTAAAGTGGAGAAGTTTTTACCTGGACGTATTTTTTATTTATTTATGTATATATCTTTTTCCCCGATCAGCCTGTGACTGAAGGGTAATAAAAACTTGAAATCAACTATTATATATTACCATGTCACGCTTGCCTGCATGTTTATTTAGCTAAACATGTCGCTTGTCGTAGGGAGTAAACTGCCATTGGGGATACTGCATCACATAATGCGTTGACAAGTAGACTAATGTGTAAATATAAATGTTCTTTAATAAAAAAGTCTATACAAAAATATGATGATGATGATGATACATGATGATTAAAGTTGTCTAATGATGTTTAATGATGTCTAACGTTGCCTAATGATTAACTGAAAAATACAAATATAAATTCTGTCAAAATAACAGTAAATTTCAGCTAATAAACTACCACTGATAAATATTCTAATTACAACTAACACTGGCAGGTAATAAACAGTTCAAGCCAAAGGGACGGGGTTCAAGATGCAAAGACATGGGGAATATTTGATATAAAAGCTTTACTTAGTATAAAACCACCAGTTAAATGAAATATAATGGAAAATAGCATACAAAGAAAATAATTACATAAATCATTCAACTATTAATAAGAAGACTGACGGTTCAAAAAGTAATTAAAGGGAGACATCTAGCTTTAAATGATCAGTGTAAACGGGCTCAGACTAGCAATTATTTGCCCATTGACTTCAATGTTAAATGACTGTAACATCACAGGCTGTAGCTTTTTGCTCAACATTCCGTTGGTTCCAATCTTTCTAGGCACAATGGGAACAACATTTGGCAATCTCCTCATCATAATTTTGTAGGCGGTTGACCATTTAGATTTTTTGCTACGCGGATTTGATGTTGACTGGGGTGAAAATCTCACTTCCGACACAATGATTGCTCTGCAGAAAGACACTTTACACCCACTATCCCTCCGCTGAAATATCATCAGTATTACCCAGAACTGCTATGAAATTGCAAATTTGATCCCTTTTCTCCAATTCTAGACCAAAAAGTTAACCAAAAAATGCAGGAAGAGGGGAGAAAAAAATGAAGGGAAAAATTGTCTATTTATAACTCGCACTACATTCATGAAATAAGGGGAAATAATTACTAGTCTTAGTCCAAACAATGCTTCGATGCTATGACAAAATGCAACAGAGATGCGACTGACAAGCCTGACAATATCAATATAAATTAAATAATACAAATGATATAAATACCGTGTTTTTATGCCCCTATGCTCTCTAACACTGGCTGACAATGACAATATACTGACAAATCCATATTGGTTGGTACTCGAATGACAACAATATTAACTGACAACCACGAGACCAAAATGACTGCCAAAGTTACAATTGCATGGTGCGGATTTCTTAGCGGGAAACTAAGAGTTAATCAAAAATTCATGAATGTAATTAAAAATGAGACGAAAAATGAAAAATATTAATGTTAAAATTAAAATGAACAATAAAAATTACTTTAAGGTTTCTGGCCATAACACTTGTGTCAGTCTGTTTACCGAGATATTAACTGGGTCATCCCATTATTGTTCTCATAGTAGTTCACCAAGAAATTTTTTTTCTGATTTACATGTTATATAAGGCTAAGCATCCCCTATTCCCCGAGAAGGAATATTTCTAGAGAAATACGAGTTTTTACCTGCTAATAAAATTTCTACGAAGTCATATATTGATATAAAGGACGCATCACATCCTTTATTCCCCGACAAATATAGTTTCTAGAGAAACTTGGGTATATATACATAGATATGATAAAGGTTAAAGGATAAATATGACACGTACAACCGGGGATTCGAAACCACGCCAGTTGACTCAATGACAGGCCTTATGATACAACGCGCACCACTATCTGCTACGATTTGCCAAATAACAACCCTTGAAGCACGCGCATTTGTCACTTATCGAAATGAAATGAAATGGGCTAATAAAGATGGTCATACGCCATACAGTGTGCTATGAGGGAAATTTTGTCTGGCCAGCGGCATTACGGCCTACTCTTACATCGAATTTCAACTGTCAAGGGATCTTTTACGTGTACGCAAATCTGCACACGGGATCTCGGTTTTTCGTTCCATCAGAACGACTAGACAGCTGTCCTTGTCAGGCCCTCCGGCCTGCATCATCGAGGGCCTGACAAGGGGCAACCACGCAGGGAAATCTAGATGAACTTTCTCGGCCAATGCAGGGATCGAACACCAGCCCCCCCCCCCCCCCCGGCTAGCTAGTTAGCTAGAACTCCAAAAGAGACACAAAGAACTTGAACAACGGGAAAGAGAAATCGAAGCGTCTGCTTCCAGGCGAACACAAGAGCATGAGAACGAGAAGCAGAGACTAGAGGCTGAGTTAGAAGCACTGAAGAATACTGATACTCGTCAAGAAGTGCGACAAGAGGTCGAGTCGTCGGACAGTTTTGTAAAACTGATAATTAAGACTCTTGGCGGTATTTTGACTGCAGTTCTGACTAAAGTTGCTTCTGAAGTAATAAGTAAACAGTTCTAAATCTTGAATAGACGTACATAAAAACAATTAATATCCAGATATTAATCAAAGTTTAGCTTGTACCGTTTTTTAATAAAATATAATGGAAGTCTCTCAATAGTTTGGTTTCCAATCCCCGGTTGTACGTGACAAGGAATAGGGTCGCCTGTCCAACGTCGTGGGTTTTCTCCAGGTCCTCCGGTTTCGTCCCACTGCTAAAGACCCCTACGCGCAAGCGAATTATTGAAATAAAATTAAACAATATGTTAGTCCCGAAATGACCTAGTTTGTGTTAAACCCATTTTTCTCTCTCTCTCTCTCTCTCTCTATCAATAGTTGAAACTGGTGTAGACACATGAAAGTCCCGATGCACCACTTAGCGATACAGGATACACATGAAAGATGAATCTCTAATCGGAATATCAGTCGCAATCTGATTTAAACACAGATCCTATTTCGTTTCGCTTTTTATAGTTCAAAATGTCATTTTACTTGTCTTTACTACACTAGGATCTGGAAGAGTTGTTATATAACCGGCGTTCTGGTTGATCTGATTGATTAACCACGCCGGAAGTTCCAGACGAACCCAGGGATCGAACACGGCACCTCCAGGTTAGCGAGCCAACGTTTTACTCACTGAGCAACCGTGGCTCCCCGGCAGTAAGAATGCAGCTCAGTTCAAAATGTCTGTCATTGAGTCTAGTTGCTTAGTCTCGATTTCTGCTTGTCCGTGACAAGGAGTAGTGTCGACTGTCCAACTTAGTAGATTTTCTCTAGCCCCCCCCCCCCCCACACACACACAACTGTGCTGGATTAACCGTTGTGGGGGGCCCCAACCTAATATAAGTGACCAGAACTTAAAGGGACAATAACACTCTTGCTGGCTTGACAGCTCCAGTAAATAAATATTATAGCCTTATTCTAAGTATTAGATGTGTAAGTGTCCTAACTGTTGTGTAAATTATCCATTACATCCTATTTTACTTGTCCAGAGGGTTCGAAAATATTTTTAAATCCAAGTCACATTTGTAAAGGTTAACGTTAGGCTTTTCAAACCATTTAGTTGAATTGTTCCAATTTTTAAAATTAGGTGTGTTAAGATGAAATTTGTATCATCAATTAATTGGAATATTGTAAAATAGTACATTTTGTTGACCAGAATAAAGATTGGGACATATTATTCTGTTACAACAAGATTGGTATTGAGCCTTGAAGCAGAATTGTTTCACACACATGAATGTAACTACATCAAATCTAATAATTTGAAGTCGGTCAGTGTTAAATAGGGGGGAACCTGTCATATTCGTAAAGTTACGACATTATAGTAACCGACCGGAGTTGATTTTTGGCGAACGTTGAACGCGGCTGACCCAAATTCAAATGCGTTTTGTTGGAACCAAAGCGTGAAATATCGTAAGTAATGTCTATACAGAAATTAGACATAATATTATACACACCAAATTTCAAACAATTATAGTCTAGGGGCTAACCCTCGAAGAATACGAGTCCAGAAATCAACGATCAAAGGCAACAAAAAGAAAAAAAAAACTATGTTCGGAGATTACCAATGACAGTTTTGACAGATTCTACGTTCAAAACTTGAATATAAATGGGTTCAAAGTTACCTTGCTTCCACCTCGGCTAAGTGGTTAAGACGCTGGCTCGCTGTCCTGGAGGTCGTGTGTTCGATCCCTGCATTGGCCGAGAAAGTTCATCCAGATTTTCCGGCGTGGTTCTCCCTTGTCAGTGATGCAGGACGGAGGGCCTGTCTAGTCGTTCGGATGGGACGAAAAACCGAAGTCCCGTGTACACATTGGCGTGCACGTAAAAGATCCCTTGGCAGTTGGAATTCGATATAAGAGTAGGCCGTAGCGCCCTACCCGCGCAAAATTTCTCTCATAGCACACTGTATGGCGTATGCCCGTCTTCATTAACCCAGTTTAGGAGCAGAACAGTAGGAGGTTAAACCCCATTTCATTTCATTTCATTTCCTAGTAGCACCAAAATATAGTTGTTACCAAAATATTGCTGCTAAAGAGGATTTTAATGAGTTTTCTTGATACACTTTTCCCGCTGAATCACAAAAAAAGAAAAGAAACACGGATGTCAGTCGAAAGTACGACGCGGCATCGCGGGATTACATCGAATTCTCGGGTGTCAACCGCAACACGAGCCCACAATGGATGGAAGGGACCCCACTTACCACGGTCCGACCATGCTCACATCGCTTCTCCTGCAACTGAGACTTTTTGTGGGGGTCCCGTGACGTCGGAGGCCCAAATGTTAGTTTCGGCATAACATAGGATGTGTCGTGAACGTTACCCCCCCCCCCTCTCTCTCTCTCTCTCTCTCTCTTCATTTCTCTTAATACCCCCCATTCACAATCCCTGTAGACTACACGGACGACTCAGCTACTGTGGGTGTATCTTTCGTGAGTCAATGCGTATGGGAAGACTAACACATCTACACAAGAACATATTAAAGACCCCTGAGCGCAAGCTAATTATTGAAACACAATTGAACCGTATCTTAGTCCCAAAATGACCTAGTTTGCGTCGAATGGACGTTACCCCACATTAATATATTCGATTCTGCGTGAAAAGCTAGAGTCTCAGTTATTTAATAATAAGTAGTTCGCTAACCGTAGCAGCTTATATGATGTTTGCTAACTAGAGTCTTAATTTTGTTACTTGAAGCATGTTTACAGTAATAACATTTTTAATAATAAGCATAAGATAATTTAAAGATGCATAATGTAAGATTCATATAAAGATGCATTACAATGTCTGTAGATTTATATAAAGATGCATTACAATGTATGTAGATTCATATAAAGATGCATTATGCAGATTTACATAAAGATGCATTATGAAGATTTACATAGAGATGCATTATGTAGATTTACATAAAGATGCATTATGTAGATTTAGATAGAGATGCATTATGTAGATTTACATAAAGATGCATTATGTAGACTTAGATAGAGATGCATTACAATGTGTGTAGATTTAGATACAGAGCTGGCCGTTCCTGATATAATAGTTCAAACAGACTGTGAAAATTGAATATAATGAAAATTTCAGAGTTTGAAATTTTAACGATACAGTCTGAATTTTCCAGTTTAAAATGAAATTATTAAATGGCGATGTGTTTTATCCGTTTAATACCACGGCCATCCGATGGTCTCGCGAGTTGATTTTCGGTTTGTCATGTGAATAAAGTGATAAAAAGACCTGTCATAGATAAATTTAGCTGTTACATAATGTATCTTTAAAATATTTCATTTGACATCAAATATACAACACAGTCTATAGTTTTAAATGAAACAGTAACCATTATTATCAGCTTAAAGGTGCGCCAACTTGAGTTCCAATTCGTGTGTTGGGCTACGGGTAAGACCGACTTCGGCTAACTTACGATCTAACTAAACCAACCAACGATTCCATTCCACGCGTCTTTGACGCCCCGTCCAATGCCACGCCCAACCTTTTCTATACCTCGAGCAATATCAACAATGGCGCCATCTTTCGCCGCCACATCCTCTCGATATTCTTGTCTCGGATCGATATTCTTTATTTTCTCGCGTTCGTCTTCTAATTCCTGCTCTTTTTGACGTTGTCTTTTCTTAATTCTCTCTAATTCTTCTTTCTCTTCATTGTGTTCTAGTTTCATCGCTTCAATTTCTTTCATCTTTCTCTTCGCCTCTTCCTCAATTTCCCGCTCTTTTTGTTCTAGTTCCCGCTCTTTCTTGTTTTTCTCTTCCTCGAGAAGTCGAAGTTTTTCTTGATATGCCCTTTCTGCTCCTTCAAACATCTCTCCAGTGTAGTACTTTCCGCCATTTTGTCTCACGGTCTCCGCCATTAAATCTAGAATACCTTTAACATCCATTGCTAATGCCGGTGGTTTTGCTCGGTTGTTAATGGTAGCTATTCTCCCATGGCACTGGGCAACCAGTGATTGTAGATCTGGTGGACAATGCTGGATATGTTCATGAATGGTCATACCATCGTAATCAAGTGAGTCCTTGCCAGTGAATAAAATGACCACAAAATCGACTACGTCTTCTCCAAACAAATCTTTGAGATGTTGAATCGTGTCCATCTCTTCCTGGGTAAAGCGACCGATCTTCAGAACGAAGAGAAAAACGTGAGGACCTGGCGACGATAGACCGATACATCTTATAACTTCTTTTGATGTTTCAAGGTTGCTTTTCCTGGTGTCGAATATTCCTGGTGTATCGATGACAACCAACTTTTTCCCATTGTTAAGATGCCTGTTTCCAAATTTACAATCTACGGTGACAGACGCCCCATAATTGTTGGATTTGAATAGCCTAGTCTCCAGCAGACTGTTTCCCGTGGCGCTTTTGCCCGCCCCGGTTTTTCCTACCATAACTATTCTTAACTCTATAATAAACAAGAAAATACACAAATTACTAACTCAGCAACAACCCATAGATTCGGCGCCGCGGTGAATCAGTGGGTAAGACGTTGGGTCGCTAACAACAACCCATAGATTCGGTGCCGCGGTGAATCAATGGGTAAGACGTTGGGTCGCTAACCGGGTCTCGGGTTCATTCCCAGTGTTGGCGGTGGGGTTTCCACTTGTCAGCGGAGCAGGAAAGGGAGCCTGGCAAGGACAGTATCTAGTCGTGCAGATGTGACGAAAACCCGAGGTCCAGTGTACAGTGTATACATTGGCATGCACGTAAAATAACCTTGGCAGTTGGAATTAGATATAAGAGTAGGCCGTAGCGCGGTTTGTCCGAGTTCTTTCATAGCACACTGTATGGCGTATATCCGTCTTCATTAGCTCAGTCGGAGCAGAAAAGTCGGACGTTAAACCCCATTTCATTTCACCTCCTTTGTAACCAAAACTGCCACGTTACCGAGACGTGGCTGCACGAACGGGTCATTTAGCTGTGGGAGGAAACCGGAGTACTCGGAGAAAATTCAAGAGGTTGGACAGATGACCCTACTCCTTGTCACATATATGCGAGATATAGAAACCCCGCCACTTGACTCAATGACATATCTTATGATACAACGCGCACACGTTAAACCATTCCGCCATCTAACCCCCTCAGATTGCATAGGATTTTTCATCACATGAATATAAGTCAATCGGTGATAACTATGGTCCCTATAGCCCCACAGGGGCGATAACTATAAAGTTAAAACCAATGGGATGCTTCTAGAGTATTCATGATATTTCAAATATTGATTAAGGGCCATAACTCCGACAGTAACTATCGAAAATCGTTGAGTATCGATAGGATTTCTCGTTTTTGTAACATGAAAACTGTGTATAAATTTAAACTTTAGCTCCTAGAGCGTCTTAGAGCAGGGGGGTTGTATGGCCGTATGGTTAGCACGAGTGGGCTGTATCATAAGGTCTGTCATTGAGTCAACTGGTGTGGTTTCAATTCACCGTTTGTACGTGACAATGAATAGGGTCGCCTGTCCAACCTCGTGAGTTTTCTCCGGGTCCTCCGGTTTCCTCCCACTGCTAAAAACCCCTACCCGCAAGCGAATTATTGAAATAAAATTGAACCATTTGTTAGTCCCGAAATGACCTAGTTTGTGTCGAGTAGACGTTAAACCCCCCCTCTCTCTCTCTCTCTCTCTCTCTCCCTGAAATCAATTGTCTGCGACGAACCGATGGATGGGCGGGGATGACGACAATATGCGACTACATTTTAATGTAGACATAGAAAAAATCTAATAATTATTTAGCCTACCTTCTGGACTTGTAAAAGGCATCTTCTATTCTCTTTTTTAATCTACAAAAGTAAACACAAAACAAAATATAGGAATGTTTATATATGTAATGGCCTTTTACAGGCTCAGCTATAACAACGTTCTAAGATGCAGCTTTATTATTTGCACACTGTGGAATACAAATGGCAATTTCAGATTCAGACATTTTGGACCAAAAATTAGGTCCAATGCGCTCCTCGTCTTGTTGTTCATGGGGGCAGCGCTCTCCGAAAAAAAGCCCACGGCTCCGCCAATTTTGGTACGCTCGACATGAAACTTGGTATTCTTGTTCCTTTGTGCATAGAGTGGTTGGATGGCCCAATGGTTAGCGCGTGCGCGTTGTATCATAAGGTCTGTCATTGAGTCAACTGGCGTGGTTTCTTTCCCTGGTTGTACGTGACAAGTAGTAGGGTCGCCTGTCAAACCTTGTGGATTTTCTCCGGATCTTCCGGTTTGAAATAAAACTGAACCATATGTTAGTCCCCAAATGACCTGGTTTGTGTCCAGTGGGCGTTAAACCCCATTTCTGTCTCTCTCTATTACAGCGTGTGTGTACTTTGTTAAGTTTGTTCTTGCAGACGTCAACGATCGTTAACACAACCAATGGTTACCTGGAATTCCCGATTCTCCAGAAACTGTACTAACTGGTCGTCCTACTCTTAGCAAAGATGACCGTCGTGCAACGATCGATAACACTATCAATGGATACCTGCCTGGAATTCCCGATTCTCCAGAAACTGTACTAACGGGTCGCCCTGATCTTAAAGATGAGAGTCGTGCAACGATCGATAACTCTATCAACGATTACCGGGAATTCCCGATTCTCCAGAAACTGTATTTACCAGCCGCCCTGATCCCGCAAGGTTGCCTGGAGGTCGAAAGTTCGATCCATGCATTGGCGAGAAAGTTCATCGGGATTTTCCGACGTGGTTCCCCCTTGTCAGTGGTGCAGTACAGAGGGTCTGGCAAGGACAGCTGTCTAGTCGTTCGGATGGGACAAAAAAACATTCGGAAATGGAGTTTAACGTCCACACAACACAATCTAGGTCATTTCGGGACTAACATATGGTTCAATTTTATTTCTTTGATTCGCTTGCGCGTTGGGGTCTTGAGCAGAGGGAGGAAACCCGGGGACACGCAGAAAACCCATGAGGTTGGACAGGCGATCCTACTCCTTGTCACGTACAACCGGGGAATCGAAACCACGCCAGTTGCCTCAATGACAGACTTTATGATACAACGCACACGCGCTAACCATTCGACCACCCACCCCCTCCCTCCCCCGCCTGTAAATGATTATTTAGAAATTTATAAACGTGACATAACTATAACCAACTGTAGATCATCGGATGGCAAAGATTTAAGTGCATTAAAATGGATTTTCGGAGACTTTGTCTCGATTGTCAAGTACCGTTGCTAAGCAACATTTTCAAACAGACATAACTTCCCTCAGAATGATTGATATTTTCTATACATTAATATTGAATAACGTTTTTTTAACTATTATAACAAGAACGACCAGTTCTTTATTTAAATCTTAAACATACATTATGCTAGAGCTAATTCTGTCTATTGCAGGTCTTTCTTTACGCCTGAAATGTTATCTAAATTATTAATTAGACATTAATTAACCTATCCAGACCCTATCCAGGGTTTAACATTCTACTGTGCTGCTCCTATACTGGGCTAATGAAGATAGACATACGTCATACAGTGTGCTATGAGTATGAATGGAATTTTGCCGGGTTTGACGCTAGCTCGCCAGCCTGGAGGTCGGGTGTTCGATTCCTACATTGGCCGAGAAAGTTCATCCAGATTTTCCGGCGTGGTTCCACCTTGTCAGTGATGCAGGACGGAGGGCCTGACAAGGACAGCTGTCTAGTCCTTCAGATGAGACGAAAAACCGATGTTCCGTGTATACATTGGAATGAACATAAAAGATCCCTTGGCAGTTGGAATTCGATATAAGAGTAGGCCGTAGTACCGATGCCCGGGCAAAATTTCCCTCATAGCACACTGTATGGCGTATGCCAGTCTTCATTAGTCTTTCTTAGAGAAAGAAACCAGGTCATTCCGGTACTAACATGGTTCAATTTCATTTCAATAATTAGCATGTACGAAGAGGTCTTTAGCAGTGGGAGGAAACCGAGGACCCGGAGAAAACCCACGAGGTTGGACAGGCGACCCTATTCCTTGTCACATACAAACGGGGAATCGAAACCACGCCAGTTGACTCAATGACAGACCTTATAATACAGCGCGCACCTGCTAACCATTCGGCCATCCTAGGTATATATACATATAGTGATAATTATGCACTTACTTGAACAATTTAATATTATTTCTGTATTCGTCGTTGACCTGTGAACACCTCAAGTTCTGTCTGTTATCTGCAGAGCACCACGCGTACGTTGACTAATTTATAGCGAGAGCGGCTATTTCTGGACTTCCTAATTCTCGGAGAATCGGGCTTTTCCTCTAAAACATTTTACGTCAGGCGGATCCAGATTCGAATGGATAAAGGACGGGAGGGGGGGGGGCTCCCAATATTAAAGCAGGGGCGGATACATGAATTATTACAGAAGAGTGTTTGCCCGGTACCCGAGACAATGTATCTTTGTGTGGGGGAGGGGGGATGGGCTGCCTTGAATATGTTTGAGAAATACACGGTCTCTATCGTCATTTTGGCGTATATGCATACACACTGAGCTTTTTAAAGAGAAAAATTCAACACCCCGTTTGACGTCAATTTTTATTATGAATTAATACGATGACATTGTGTTTCAATTTCGTTGATGCAAAGCATTAATTGTGATATTACATAGTTTTAAATCATTATCTCGTACTTTGAGTGCCCATCCTATCTCACTGATGATAAAGGAAAAAACATACGACCGAGACACTTTTCTCATAAAAAGTGTTGTTTTAAATGTGGCTGAGCATGATTTTATTTTTAACCGCGGTGACTGTCTAGAATTTCCTGGGCAAAATAGGATTCCCCGGGAACCAGAGAGAGAGAGAGAGAGAAAGAGAGAGAGAGAGAGAGAGTAACAAGGTCATTTCTACACTGACATATATAAGCCGGTGGCCTTTGTACGGGACCTGATTTTCCGTGAGCCCTGGACTTAAAGGGGCATAAGGATAAAAAGCTGACAGTTCTAGTTAAAAATAGATATTAGATAATGATAACAAAAGTCAAATTGTTTCACTCTGAAACGAGATATTAGCGAATCAATTTAAGGCTAGCCTAGATCGTCATTACTACCGTTGGTATGATAATAAACCAAATCTCGATTATCCATTTTTACGGTTATTTCATCAATCACAAAACATATTCAAATCCACCAAATATCGAAGACTAACGATGCCATCGAGAGTTGATTATGGTCTTGATAAGTTAATTAATGTCTAATTAATAATTTAGATAACATTTAGGCCCAAAGAAAGACCAGCAATAGGCAGATTTAGCTTTTTCATAATGCATGTATAATAATTTATATAACATTTATCGCTCGAAATATAGCTCTAGCTGGCTGTCTTCCCAAATTTATAGAAACGAGTTTCTACACTGACAAATTAGTTTCTGTGGGCCAATAGAGACCCGAAAGTCGTATGACACGACCTACTACCTACGCCCATTGGCAAATACGTAAATTTCAGATCTCTATAGCCACGGTGGCTAAGTGGGTAAGACGCCGCTTCACTAGCCTAGAGGTCGCGTGTTCGATCCGTGCATTGGCCGAGACAATTCATCGGGATTTTCCGACGTGGTTTCCTCGTCAGTGGTACAGGACGGAGGGCCTGACAAGGACAGTTATCTAGTATTTCGGATATTACGTAAAACCCAGGTCTCGTGTACACATTGGCGTTCACGTAAGATCCCTTGGCAGCTGTCCGGGATACATTTCTCTCATAGCACATGCACTGTATGGCGCATTACCCCATTTCATTTCATTTCTCAGAAAAATGTAAATTCCTCTTAAGTGCCTGGAAATAATGCTTATGTTGAATACCCGATTATGTTGGAATGTCGGTAATATCGAATACATTAATTATTTACGTTATGCCTCAGTGACCTGATGTTATTGATTGCATTATTTGTTTACTTGTTACCTAGGCGACCAGATGTCTCGCCTGTTTGTCGTTTTTGTGCGGACTGAAATAAACACAATTATAGTTAATTTGCTACACGGACGTTGTTATTTTTGAGTTTCATTATTTGGTACGAATTTGATGTCTTGTAACGAACTTGTGTAGTCTTCAGTTTTTGTCTGTCAAGCGTCTAGTTAGCCAAGGCTGTGACCTTGTTGTGATCCAGCCATCATAGGCGACCAGACGTCCCGATGTCACATGTTGTCGAGTTAAATCAATGAAGAATTTAATTTCGTTTTTGCGCGGACTGAAATAAATACATTATAGAAAATTACTACACGAACATCAAAAAAACTTTAAATTTTGGGAACAATTTATGATTAAACTAAACATACCCTGTTTTTCTACAATTAGCTTCGCTTGAAAACAAATAAATAGTATACTAGTTTTGGATATGGCATGGTGGCCATTCAAGGCAGAGAGAATGAAATGGAGTTTAACGTCCACTCGACAAAAATTAGGTCATTTCGGGACTAACATATGGTTCAATTTTATTTCAATAACTCGCTTGCGCGTAGGGGTCTTTAGCAGTTGGGGGAAACCGGAGGACCCGTAAAAAAACCCACGAGGTTGGACAGACGACCCTACTCCTTGTCACGTACAACCGGGGAATCGAAACCACCTATTTACATCTTGTGACCTTGAGGAAATTATGCATATGGCCTTGTCAAATAGATCTAGCCTGTTAAAATGTTTTTTTTTCTTAATCTTCGGGGGAAATAACTTATTTAAAAACCAAAGTATTATTTCAATGCACTTAAATGTGCTGTTCAACAGCTTTTAGTTACAAATTTTTAAGATTTGAAATTTTAAGCAAAACGGATTTCACGTTATTCAAGTGGCTATTAATTATTTATCGAGAGGGGATCACGTGGCTAAGTGGGTAAGAGGCTGGCTCGCTAGCCTGGAGGTCGGATCTTCGATCCCTACATTGGCCGAGAAAGTTCATCCAGATTTTCCGACGTGGTTTCCCCTTGTCAGTGATGCAGGACGGAGGGCCTGACAAGGACAGCTGTCTAGTCGTTCGGATGGGACGAAAAGCCGAGGTCCCGTGTACACATTGGCGTGCACGTAAAAGATCCCTTGACAGTTGGAATTCGATATAAGAGTAGGCCGTAGTGCCGCTGTCCGGGCAAAATTTCCCTCATAGCACACTGTATGGCGTATGCCCCTCTTCATTAGCCCAGTATAGGAGCAGAACAGTAGGACGTTAAACCCCATTTCATTTCATTTCATTTATTTATCGAGACACACAGACTAACAGTCGACAATCAAGTTTATGTGACCTAACGGTGACTAGTCTTATCATAGGCGAGGTTTGGGGTGAATTATTTATGGCTGTACAAAATAACAACGAGTTTCAAGAAATAACATTCTCCAATAACGTAAGATATCTGGAAAACCATGTTACTATTAATAGATTTATATCGTGCATCTGCCTGGTGATTTCATTCAAGCAGACGACATTCCTCGCTGATAGTTTATTATTAAAAAAATTAAAAGTTACGTCATGATCCAAATGTATAAATAATGAATTACACCAACCATATATTTATAGGTGATGTTATACAAACGTATACAATTTTACACACCGTCT